AACTCATAAAGGCAAAAAGGTTAGTTAATGGTAGGGTGGGGCCAATCAAAGACAATGACGGCAATCTTGTTGTGAAGGCAGAGGGCATGGCTGATGTACTAAACTAGTACTTTGCATCTGTCTTCACAACGGAAATGGATGCCCCAAATGCCGCAGTATTGGATGAGAGGGTAGAGGAAAGATCAGATTACTATAGACAGAGAGGAAGTTCTGAAAAGATTGACTGGGCTCAAAATTGATAAGTCACCAGGACCAGATGGGTTTCACCCAAGGTTGCTGTGGGAGATACGGGTTCAAATAGCGGAGGCTTTGGCCATTATATTTCAATCTTCATTGGACACAGGAGTGGTGCCAAGAGACTGGAGAGTGGCTAATGTTGCCCCCCTCTACAAAAAGACAAACCCGGAAATTACAGGCCAGTCAGCCTAACTTCGGTAATAGGAAAACTACTGGAGACCATAATCCGGGACAGAATAAATCTCTATTTAGAGGAACATGAGGTAATTAGAGACAGCCAACATGGATTTGTTAAAGGCAAATCTTGCCTAACAAATCTAATAGAATTTTTTGAAGAGGTGACTGCGAGGGTTGATGAGGGAAATGCGGTGGACGTTATTTACATGGATTTCAAAAAGGCTTTTGACACAGTACCGCATAAGAGATTAATAAAAAATTAGAGGCCCACAGTATTAAGGGGACAGTGGCAGTTTGGATTAAGAACTGGCTGAGTGACAGAAAGCAGAGGGTGGTAGTTAATGGGTGTTTGTCGAAATGGAAGGAGGTGTGCAGCGGTGTCCCCCAGGGATCGGTATTGGGACCACTGCTCTTTCTAATATATATTAATGATCTGGACTTAGATCTGGACTTAGTGCATAGAGAGCACTATTTCCAAGTTTACAAAGTTAGGTAGGGTAGTAAATAGTGAGGAGGACTGTAACCAACTACAAGCAGATATACACAGAATGGTGGAATGGGCTGACATGTGGCAGATGGATTTCAATGTGGATAAGTGTGAGGTGATACACTTAGGTAGGAAAAATGATAGGAGGCAATATAGACTTGGTAGCTCAATCTTAAGGGGGGTGAACGTACAGAGAGATCTGGGTGTTCAAGTAAGCGAATCATTAAAGGTAGCGGGGCAGGTAGATAAGGCAGTAAAAAAGGCATTTGGTGTACTGAGCTTTATTAGTAGGGGCATAGAGTATAAGAGTAGGGAGGTTATGGTTAATCTATACAAAACACTGGTTAGGCCTCAGCTGGAGTACTGCGTCCAGTTCTGGACACCATACTTCAGGAAGGATATTAAGGCACTGGAAAGGATGCAGAGGAGATTCATGAGAATGATACCAGGAATGGGGAACCTTAGCTATGAGGACAGGCTGGAGAAGTTAGGACTTTTCCCATTAGAGCAGAGAAGGTTACTGATAGAGGTCTTCAAGATCATGAAAGGTTTCGACAGACTAGATAGGGAAAAGCTGTTTCCGCTGGTAGGTGTGTCTGTGACCCATGGTCACAATCTAAAATATCTACCAAAAGAAGCAGAGGGGAGGTTAGAAGAAATGTTTTCACTCAGCGAGTTGTTCGAATTTGGAATGATCTGCCTGAAAGGGTAGTGAAGTCCGATTCGATAACAGCTTTTAAGAGAGAACTGGATAGGTATCTGGGAAGACGGGTTTGCAGGGTTATGGGGAGAAAGCTGGTGATTGGGGTTAGTGAAAATGACTTGCTCTGTCAAAGAGCCAGCACAGACTCGATGGGCCGAATGGCCTCCTTCTGTGCCGTAACATTCTATGAATCTATGGAAACTCCCAAGGCAAGATGGAGGTCCTGGCTTGGATCTGTAATATCCTAACTGTTCTCTTCCCCCCCAAACAGCTTTTAGAACTCAGCATTAGTGCTGTCCACATCTGCTGACTTGTCATTAGCTATGTACTGCAGTGCTGAGTCCACCTCCTCCTAACAGATGGATTGTCAACAACAACAAACAACAACAACAACAACAAGATTCCATTTATAGAGCGCCTTTCACGTCAGGAGGACGTCCCAAAGTGCTGGAAAGTCAGGGATCTGCACCTGAGCTGGTGGTTGGAATCAGGAATGGTGGAGGGTAGGGTTACGAAGGTGACCAAAGGCACGGTCAAAGAGTAGGGTCTTGAGACGGATCTTGAAGGAGGCAAGGGAAGGAACGAGGAAGAGGGACTTGGGGATGGAGTTCTAGAGGGTGGGGGAAGAGAGGCTGAAGGCCCGCCTGCCAATGGTGGGGTGGGCAAGGCGTGGGATTTGAAGCAGGCTGGAGCCCACTGAAAGGTGGGAGTGGACAGGTTGGTAGGGGGTTAGGAGGTTAAAGAGGTAGAGAGGAGCAAGGTCATGGAGGGTTTGGAAGGTGAGGACCAGGATCTTGAACTATCTGAGTGATGGGGAGCCAGTGGAGCCAAGCAAGGATCTGGGTGATAGGGTCTCGGAGTCTGGTGCGGGGGGGACACGGGCTGTAGAGTTCTGGATGATCTGCAGCCTATGGAGGGAAGAGTTGGGGGAGACCGACAAGCAAAGAGTTTGTGAAGTTGAGCGCCTAGATGTGATGAATGTGTGGATGAGGGTCTCGGTGGCCTGCGGTAAGAGACAGTGGCGGAGCCAGGCAATATTGCGGAGGTGGGGAAAGGCTTAGCGAGTCACGGCATGGATATGGGGGGGTGAAGGGCACTTGAGGGTCGAACAGGATGACGTGGTTCCATATTGGCTCTGTGAAAGGTAGAGTGCATCCATGGAAGGTGATGCTGTCAGCTCTCGAGGTATGGAGGCGCTGATGGGAGCCAAGCAGGAGGGTCTTGGTCTTGCCGTCATTCAACTGGTGGAAGTTTGCTCTCATCCAGGACTTCAAACCTCTCTCGCTTTCTTTCTCCCTCTCTATCTCTCACGACATACTTAATACTATTGATATAATAGTAAGTAGGAACCCGGTTGTTAATTGATTGGCAAATCGCTTTTCTGGGGATAATAATTCCTTCAAAAAAAAGATAATAAATTGGTCTCTTCAATCCACAACTGTTTGTGGGACACTGCTGTGCACAATTAGTGGAGGCGTTTCGCCCACAAAATATGCAGTGGATTCACTTAACAGTATATTCTGTGAAGTGCTTTGAGACATCTGGAAGATGTGAAAATCACTATATCAAATACAAGGCTTATTGTAGTCTCGTTCAGTCTCTCGCTCTCTGATCATCGAATTATGCAACAACAACAACAAAATTACATTTATAAAGCACCTTTCACGTCGAGAGGACGTCCCAAGGCGCTGAACAGTCAGGGATCTGGATCCAAGTGTGGGGATGCAGGGTTGGGATCAGGGAGAGTGGAGGGTAGGAGGGCGGCTGAAGGCACGGTCCAAGAGGAGGGCTTTGCGATGCTCCTTAAAGGAGGCAAGGGAGGGAGCGAGGCAAAGGGAATGTGGGATGGAGTTCCAAAGGGTGGGGCAGAAAGTCTGAAGGTCCGAACGTCGATGGTGGGGCGTGCGGGCGGGCACCGTGGAGTAGGCCATAGCCTGCTAAGCGGACAGAGCAGACAGGTTGATATGGGGTCAACAGGTGGCAGAGGTAGGAGGGAGCAGGGCCATGAAGGCGAGGACGAGAATTTTGAACTATTCTCTGGGGGATGGGGAGCCAGGTGAGGATGGGGGAGATGGGGTCACGGAGCCTGGTGTGGGAGAGGATACGAGCTGCAGAGTTCTGGATGGTCTGCAGCTTGTGGACGGAAGATGTGCAATTTGTTCTCCTGTTTACCACAGCCTGGACTTGTATTTTTGTTATATAAGCTTGTAGAAAGCTGCTTCAAAATCCCCACTCTGCTTTCTTTTGACAGATTGCTGGGGCTCAAAATATTATCTAGGCACCATATACCATTAAACAATTCTTCCCTTCCCTTATTCCCTTTTAATGCAACCTTCCTGTGGCATAACTCAGAAAAGGAATAGAGTCAAACTTCCAGCTCTGTGATAATTATGCCCTATTGTCACTTCTTCACTGAATATATCTGACGCCTCACTCAGATAATGAAATCTTACTCGTTTCCGGGAAACTGCTATAAGTTTTGCATAAATTAAATGGTTTAGTCAAAAATCTATCATCCTTTTAACATTTTTTATAAACCAAATAATATATATTACGGTAGTGTATAGGAATTGAATTAGATCATGGCTGATCTGTACCTCAACTAATTCTTTCAATTCCAAACAGTCGTGGATTGAGTGACCAAATTATTATTATTCATTTATTTTAGAGGGATTATTACCCCTGGAAAAGTCCGCCAATCAACTAAGAACCAAGTTCCTACTTACTGCTAGGTAAACAGAGGCATGTGGGGTAAGGAAACTTACCCTGCTGCTCGTCCCTCGCATCCTCCACACCACCATCGGGGTCGTGCTTTCAGCCACTAAACCCCAAAATTCTGGAACACTCTCCCTCAATCCCTTTGCCTTGCCCCCTCTTTCCCCTCTTACAATCCCACCTGAAAACTTTTCTCTTCAAGCGTGCTTAGGGCCCCCTCCCCCTGGCTTGGAGTCAGGCTCCACCACTGTTAAGCGCTTTGAGACACTACCCTGCATGGAGGGCGTTATATAAGTGCAACTTGTTGTTATTTGAAATCTACACACATACAAACCCCTTCAAATGACTTCAGAAATGCCCATACTTGCATGACTAAAAGGCTCTGGATAAAAGGGGAAAAACATAGACTTTGCAATTTAACAACTTGCATTTATAAAGCACTTTTCTTGAAAGATGAATGTCTTAAATTGTTGTTATTATTAAAAGTTCTTCACAGAGATGATCGGGAGCACTGAGCAAGGAGGAGAGGAAGGAGAATCTAACCAAAAACAATTTACATAGTGCTTTTCACATTGGGAAACTGCCTTGAAGCGCATTTCACACAATGACTGGGAGCCCGAGCTGGAGTGGGGAGAGAACTTGGAAGGGTTAGGAGGGGGCGGTTGGTTAAAAGCACGGTCAAAGAGTTAGATCTTGAGATGGCTGTTAGCAAGGAGGTAGAGGGCAAGGTAGAGGATGGAGTTGTAGAGAGTGGGGGAAGGGTGGCTGAATGGTTGCTCACTGATTGTGGGGCATTGGTAGGTAACAGTAGAGGTGGTGGTATGGAGGTGAGGGAAAGCAGAGCAAGTGAGAGCCCAAATGTAAGTTTGAAGGATAGTTGAGAATGGAACAAGAAGCAGGTTCCCCATCAGCTCTGAGATAGAAAAAGTACCTGTACAGGGCAATGTGATAAGCGACTGTGATAACAAGGCACAACAGGAGCCAGATAAGAGAGTTAGAACTCAAACAACTTGGACAAAATCAAATAGATAGGTTTTAAAGAGGGACCTGAAAGCAGGGAGAAAAGGTGAAAGGATTTTTGGGGCGAATTCCATAGATCAGGGTGTTGAGCCTGTTGCCTCGGCCACCAATGGAACATGAAACTGAGGTTCTCCTGAAGTTCCCATGTAAGAATTGCTTGTCAAAGATCCCACATAAAGTTGAATGAAAAGTAAAATAGAAAATATGACGGAGTCGAGGAGTTTAATTAGCAACTTTACTAGCACCTACCATGGCTTGTTAGAGAGAATATAACCACAACTTTTTGTGAGAAGCGTAGACAGAGAGGACGTCTCAAGGGAGAAACTCAACTTGACAGGATAAATGTGTCTTCTGTAAAGTAAATTTTCACCACATTTCACATACATTTTTTGTATTTTAGGTCTTTCATCATGTCAAAACGAAGAGAAGACCTTTCCGAAACAGTACCTCCAAAGAAAAACAGAACTGAAGATGGAGAAGAACTTGATGCAGAAGAAACCAAGAGTACGAATGGAAAAAATGATGAAAGAAGTGGAGAAAGTCATCCAAATTCACTTTTGGTAAATTAGATTAAATATTTGTAGTAATTACTGCTGTAAGTGTCCCTACGATATTTGTGAAGGCTAATGGGAACTGGAAACTGGACTTTATCATAAGTGGTATAGAACATAGGTAGGTTCAAGCGCACTTCAGGACTTTGAACTCACAATTTAGGTTGACGCTCCAATGCAGTTTTGGGGGTGCGATGCATTGTTGGTGCTGCCTTCAGATGAGATGTTAAACTAAGGTTTCGTCTACTTGTAGATGTTAAAGATCCCATGGCACTATTCGAGAAGGAAAATAAGATCCTGTGAAGTCCTTTAAGATGTTGCAAAGTGTGTTAAGGCACTATATCAAATGCAAAGACTATTGTTACCATAGGAATAAGAAAACACTACTGCAGTTACATTAAATTGCTGCTCAAACCTTATTTGGAGTATTGCGGTCAGTTTTGAATGTCCAACTGAGGAAAGATTTACGTAGAAAGTACAGCGCGGAAACTGGCTATTTGGCCAGCTAATCCATACCGAATGTTAATGACCTTGAAGGAAGTCCACCAGTAGATATCTGGGAGGAAAGAACTGTAAGAGATTTGGATGGAGATATCCAATACGGTTGTGTAATAATCCCAAAGTTTATTAAGTAATACAAATAGCGTAACTTATTCTTAAAACTGAGACAATAGATACCGTAGAATCAATGTAGATTCCACTGGGAAGTGCGCTGACCCTCTACACAACTTCCAACTATTTCAAAGTTACATCTTTTTTGTGTTTCTAACTGGACCTCCCCTTGTCATATAGATAGCCCTCACCCTTCGTAGGCTGCTAGCGATCTTTGAGCTGGCTTTTTTTGCATGAGAAAATAACTGAAAACCAGAAAGAGATACGGACAGTTAATTGGGAGGATTCCTGTTTCTTTGTCGAGCTGATCAGACGTCTAGGCGTGTGCTTCTCTCTCTCAGGCCCCTTGTTTTCACATCTGCCCAAAGTAAATAATAATGATAAACCTTGCATTTGATAAAGCGCCTTATCACCACTTCGAGGCGTCTCAAAGCGCTTCACAGAATACACTGTAAAGTGAATTGACTGTGTACTTTGTGGGCGAAACCTGGCAGCCAATCACACACAGCCTTGTCCCACAAACAGTTATGGATTGAGTGACCAAAGTATTATTCAAGGAATTATTACCCCGGAAAAGGGATCCAACAATCGACTAACAACCGGGTTCCTCCTTACTGCTAGGTAAACAGGCGTGTGGAGTAAGGAAACTTACCCAATGTTTTGTCTAACTGGGTATCAGACTCAGGTTCTATAGCTTGCAAGGCGATTGCTCTAACCACTAAGCTACAGGACACCACCAAATGGAGCATTCTGAAGCACACCTGATCTTCCTTGTAGCAGAAGGTGTTGAGCTTTGAATCCAAACTATTTTTCCCGAGAGATAAATTGTTGAAGATTGGGAGAGACACTACCATCAAATGCAAGGATTAATATTATTATTACTGTCAAACTTATTTTTTCTTGAAGATAAAGAAAACTGGTGGAATGCTTCACATTTGACTTCTCTCTGAACTCTCATTGGCATGGGCCAACGAACATTTAGGTTGGCCAAAAAAATCTTTTTGGTGTCTGATATGTGTGGAAACCTAGAATCCAAACTAGACTGAGAATTTCCATGCATCTCACCTGTGAGTGGAAATTCTTGCGTTTGCATTCGCCCCAGAGGGATGCACCTGCTTACCTAATTCCAGAGTGTATTAGGCACAAATTGGCATGAGCCAAGGTTTGGGGACTCTAGAGTGTGCAAAGGATACAGCAACAAGCATCTTTAATGCTCCAATGCCTCGTGGTGCAGGGAAGACTAGGTGTGCCAAGGACTGTTCATTTTACGTTTGGTGGGGCAAGATTGAACCTGGAGTTTGATTTGGAGCTGCACAACCTTGAGAACGCAATTGAATTGACTAAATGAAAAAAAACCTACAAAAAAAATAGTCATTTGACTTTACAATCCTGTGAAGCACTTTGAGACATCGTCTTAACCTGAAAGGTGTTAGACAAAATGCACTGATTTTTATATATGTTTACTATCTATTATGGGGATGTTTCAAAAGGACTCCATAATACAACACATCCAAATAGTGGGAGACTTGTTTGTCCGATACACAACACTGTAAATAAATTTAGTGGTCTGAATTTTATAAATCCATTTCAAAGGAAAATAAGGATTATTTAATTGAAGATAATTTTACAGTGTAAACATGTAACTTGGTTGGTCTCATCATTTATTGTGTTAATCTATTGAACAACAACATTTGTATGGCGCCTTTCACGTCAAGGGGACTTCTATGCATTAAATCCATCAATTTACTCGTAAAATATAGGGGACCCTAGAGTGTGCATTAGGATACAGTAACAAGCATCTTTAATGCTCCCCACAGATGGAGACTTGCCGGTGAAAAATAAAGATTTCTTTATTTTTTCTTTTATTCTTGTCACTTGGGTTATAATTTCCCAAATGTCAGCAGAACCCATCAGTACTGTAAGTACTGCAATAACTGTGTCCTTCCAGCTGTCGAGGATACAATGTCACTTGGGAACTGGGAAAATTATAGTAATTAAGAAGTGGCAGATTTTTTTTTCTGCTGCCTGCTGATCAGAGGCACTGTGCTTAAATTACTATAGTTTGCGGAATGCAGTTCTAAAACTTGTGTTAGGCGTCAGGTTCGACCCCCAATTATCCTTCCTCCTCTCCATCCGGTCCCTCACCAGCACTGCTTTCTTCCACCTCCGCCAATATCTCACCTCAAAACCCGCCGCAACCCTGGTCCATGCCTTTGTCACCTCTCGGCTGAACTATTCAAATGCCTTCCTCGCCGGTCTCCCCTCCACTACCATTCTAAAAATCATCCAGAACTCTGCCGCCCACATTTTTACGCACACCAAACTCCGCTCCCCGATTACCTCAGTCCTTGCCAGACTGCAGTAGTTGCCTGTCTCAGAGAGGATCGACTTCAAGAACCTCACTCTTGTCTTCAAATCCCTCCACTCCTCTGAACCCCCCCTACCTTTCTGACCTCCTCTCTCCTTCGCTCCACCGGGTCTGGCCTCCTCCTCGTCCCCCGAATCCTCCGCTCCACCATCAGCGGCTGTGCCTTCAACCACTACCCCCAAGGCTCTGGAAATCCCTTCCTTGCTCCCTTCGCCTCTCTTCCTATTTTCAGGCCTAGGGTGAAGACCTTTCTTTTCGACCACGCCTTTGGCTATCTTCTTCCCCTTCCCCCTGGCTCGGCCCCGGAATCCATTACTGTGAAGCGCTCTGAGACGCCGTCCTGCGTGGAGGGCGCAATATAAACCCAAGTTGTTGTTATAATGCCTTGGGTTTTTATTTCTCAAGAGAGGATGAAATAGAAGTCATCCAGCGTTTGTTTGAGAGGTTGTTGGATTTAAGACAAATTAACAGATTGAACTGATAATTTTGGAAAGGATCTGCGTTTGTGCTGTTACAGGTTTTTATAAATAGGATTGGAAAAGGAGAGCTGTGTGCTAATACTGGACTTATGTTCTGGGCAGGTATAATCTGTTTTTTTTATTTCAGAATGAAGGTGAAGTGGGAATAATTGAAAGTATTTCATTGAAAAACTTCATGTGCCATGCTTGCCTTGGACCATTTAAGTTTGGACCTAACGTTAACTTTGTGGTTGGAAACAATGGAAGTAAGTATTACGTACCAAAAATATTTGGTTTGTGTTGCTCCTTGTCGTTCTCTTTGCTCTCCAACACATTGATATATTTTGACGCTAGCCTCAAAACTTGCAGCTCAACCCCATTTTGAGGTGGTGGTTTGGGTCCATAAATTCGGACAGTGGGTTATAATCAGGTACCCCAAAAACAGCCAATCGCAGCTTCTGGGTCATCGGGATGCCATTGACCTATTTTCATCACACAGTGTGCAGGCATTTTCTGTACACATATACTGTACTTCCAGTATATCGTGGGTGAACAGTACGACTGCTACAAGCATGTCCATACTTTATAGAAGTGTGTTACAATTGGGTCAGCCTATAACGTGTGTTGAATTTGCCTTGTTAGTAACAATCATATTGACCGGCTTTCAGTGAATCTTCATGATTACACACGCATTATTTTCTTTTTCCACCTTATGGGCACCTCTTAAAAAAAAATTATTCTATTATTTACATTTATCCACAAAATGCATCTGCCATTACTTCAATGCTATCAACCTCCACTGTATTTGGGACCTGTAACTGTGATCATGCGCTTTAATGTACTTCATCTAGTTTTAAATGGGAACTGGTGCCATTATAGTAGGAAGGCAGTCTAGAAAGGGTCTGCTAGTATGCTATTACCAAAAGTAATTTTGTTTATTGTATTTGTATCCGATGCACTGTTTTAAGGTTTTCATCTTCAAATGTAATGTTTTCTTCCTCTATGGAGCCACTATGGCTTCACATCTGGTGAAGGATGAATATGTGCCTTTTACAGGGCAATAGATCACCATACAAATGGGATTTGCAAAATTGACTCACCTCTTGCATGGGCTGGAAAAGAAAAGTAACTGAAAATAGATTTGGCAGCATTCCATAATGCTGTAAGAATTATTTCTCTTTCTCATCTTTCCTTAGGTGGCAAGAGTGCTGTTCTGGCTGCCCTTATTGTAGGCCTTGGTGGAAAAGCTACTGCCACCAATAGAGGATACTCAATAAAAGGATTTGTGAAAAATGGTCAAAAGTAAGTGTGATTGTTTTGATTTTTTTTTATGTTCCAAGACATGTGTGGATCAAATATGAAAACTGGAAACTAAAATATTTAATTTCTATGTTTCATTTTAAACTGAAACAAATCACCATAGCATAGATGTATTTAAGGGAAAGCTAGATAGGTACATGAGGGAGAAAGGAATAGAAGGTTATGCTTGAAGGCTTAGTTGAGGAAGAGCAGGAGGAGGCTTATGTGGAGCATAAACACCGACATAGACCAGTTGGGCCGAATGGCCTATTTCTGTGCTGTATATTCTAATGTATTCTAATGTATTCCTGCTCAATAATCATATAAAAGCATCAATAATCTCTTAACCATTATATAAAATTAAAACATTTCCTGTCCTTTAACAGTTGATGCATCTTTGTAACATAAGTTGAATTACTTTGTATTTACGTTTTGACTAGCTTGCAAACTGCCCTGAAATTAGTCCACTCAATATTTTCCTATTTCTGGTGTTCTCTTAACTTTTGTTTTAAACTGCAGCTGTGAATTTGTCTTGATTACTTTTAGCCATTCGGTGAATGAAAATTACATGTATAAATACTTCTGCAAAAATAAGTCAAATTTTGACCTACAGCAAGAACGATTTTGGTTTGAGGCTGCACTGCAACATCTTTGCATAATAACTTAGTACATGAACTGATGCAGGCCAACTTTCCATAAGGTCAGAGGAATTGAGGTTTTGAGCTGAGTGAGTGAGTTGCTCAAACATTCTCATTGCACTAGCACACCCAGAATAGTTGGCTGATGCTCTCAGAATATTTGGAACCAGCATTGCTTTAATGCTTTAACCAGCCTTGCGTTAATGAGATTGAAAGTGAATAGGTGGAGACAATAATATTAATAATAACAATGGACATATAGGCTATTTAAGGAGCTAGTTGAAGGATGCTTCATGCTGGATTTGCATGTTAAATAGTCAAGAGGACCAGCACTGATAATCTGACAATAATTTAATATTTTGAATGTCAGTAGGATTTATCCAAATGCTTAAAATGTGTACTGGAATAAAAGCCTATATACTCCTATCCACTTATCTCGAGCCAGTTTATATTGACATCTTGCATATGTCGACAAAAAAGTCCCGATCCCTTCCCATGTATGTCTACATCAGGGTGGTCCCAACCTTTTGGCTGCCGAGTGACGGATTCCCTATTTGAGAATGGTCTGAATGCCACATAAGCAATATTTTGTGTTTGCCTTCGAGAAACATAACATCATTGACACGGCACCTTTTTCATGTTGAGAGGACATCTCAAAGCGCTCAAACCTGCCGGTGTGGCACCCGAGCTGGGGGTGGGAGTCGAGGGAGATGGGATGAGGAGGGGAAAAGATGAAAAAAGCATGGTCATAGAGTTAGATCTTGATTTACCTTGAAAGAGGGGAGGGAAGGAGGGACAGAGTCAGAGGAACTCCAGGAATGGAACTCCAGAGAGCATGGACAAAATGGCAATGGTGGGGCAGATGGGGGACATGAAGTAAGCTGGTGTTTCCTGGGCAAAGGGAACAGCCAGGTTGGGAGGTCACAGAGGTGGGGTGGGGGGATGAAGGATGTAGTGGAGTTTTTCACTGGGGAAAGGGGTAGTTGACTGAGGAAATTGCAAGGCACGTACCTCGGTGTCTGTTCTCGCCCCCCTCTCCCCCCCCAACGGGGGACGAGAGAGACTCTGATTGTTTGTCTTGACAGTGAACCATGAAACGCTGCCCTCACTTCAACTCTCTTTTTTGTTTCCCTCCTCCTCTTCCTCAAGCTCTTTCCCTCAATCACTCTCTCTTTCTTTCATGCACTCTCTCACACATATTCTCTTCCCCCTCTCTCTCTGCTATACAAATGTAATCTTGTTGTTGTTTCCTTCTCTCACCCCTCCCTCACATTCTCTATTTCTCTCAATCACTCTCTCACTCTCTGTCAATCACCCTCTCAATCCCTCCTCTCTCTCCTCCATTTCTCTCACATAAAGTTTCTCCCTTTCCGTCAATCATTCACACTCTCACACCCTCTCTCTCACACCCTCTCTCACTCTCTATTCTCTCTCCCTCTCTCAATCATTCTTTGTCTCCCCCTCTGTGAATCACACTCTCTCTCCCTCTCTCACACAGTGTCTCTCTCTCTCTCCCCCTTTCTCACCTCTCTCACACACACACTCTCTCTTACTCAATCACTCTCCCTCCCTCTGTTCTGCCCCTCTGCCTCCCCTATCCCCCTCTCTCAAACCCTCTCTCTTCCCAAATGAGTGCGCGGTTCACTATCTGCGGGAGAAGCCAACGTTTGGTAAGGATGCGGTGGATAAGGAGACACACTTGCCTGTCAGGAAGCCCCTCCCTCAGCTCGGTTATACACGGCAGCAACAGCCGGCATTATTTCCATTCTCTGCGCTGCGTCCTCCCAACTGCTGGCTCCTGCCACTGCAATGTTGTAAATGGTCTCAGGCTGGATAAAATTATCCTCTGGGCCGAATGTGGCCGACCGGGCCGCCTGTTGGACCGCGCTGGTCCAGATCGACATAAACCTCGGTGTGTTTGCATTTTGTTATTACCACTTATGTCGACAGGCTCTTATCCTCACATGTGAGTCAGTGGGTGAGTGTGGCACTTGCCTGCACGAATGATTGACTGTGGCTTCTGTGTGCATGAGTGATTACATGCGAGTGTGTGTGTGGCATGTGTTCGGTTGGTTAGACGCTGCCCCGCGTGAAGGGTGTTTTATATAAATACAAGCTGTTGTTCGTCCGTTTATGTTGCCATCCCATTAATGTCGACAAAATTCGAACATCCCTGATATGTCGACATAAGTGGGTAGGACTGTATTTACCCATAGTACAGTAAAATCCTCAAACGCCATGAGATGCTTTTGACGGTAGGATAAGATGCTATATCAATTGGTAGGATTATTATTCAAAATATATAATTGCAATCCATTCTTAGCAGTTTATTCATGTGGATACTCCTTAAGAAGGCTTGTGAGTAGATGTTCTACATTTAGCAGAGAAAATTGTTCTGAATGAGCAGAATGCTGTTTTACATTTACATATACATTATGTGGAGAGTTTGGGTGATCTTGTTGAAACTCCTATACTAACATTCCTGATTTGCAGTTCTGCAGATATTGCAATTACTTTGCGAAACAGAGGACCTGATGCTTTTAAAGCTGATATTTATGGAGAGGCCATCATAGTAGAACAGCACATTTCTCGAGAAGGAATAAGGCAGTACAGATTAAAGAGTAAAACAGGTAGGTTGGTTGTTCTGGATTGTGTTTTAGAATATGATGAACACTGTCCCTATAGCCAAGAAGATTATAAACTTTCTAGTAATTAGGTCAGTCTGGTCCACCTAATCATCTGGACGTCAGCCATTTTCTTGAGCAGATAAGAATCTGGCTGCAGGTCCACTAGACATTTGCCTTATAAGGCACCAAAGTGCTATAACGGGAGTTCTACTGTCGCTGTTTGACCATGAGGTGGTGCTCAACAGCAGCTCATAGGCAAAGGTCCACTTGGTGTCTTCCAATTATAAGTTTGGTGAAATCTGGAACCCGTCTTTTGAGAATTATAGAATAATGCATTCTGTGTTGTACTGATCTGTGGCAGCCATGTATATACATGTCATATATCAGTGCAGTAAATAATAAGGAAGAAAAAATTAGAATAATTTTCACCTTATAGAATATGCAATGTAAATATTTGCCGTGCAGTTATACATTTCTGCTAATTCAATATCCTTTGTTCTCCACAGGACATTTAGTTTCTACAAAGAAAGAGGAACTCAATACAATATTGGACCAGTTCAATATTCAGGTAAGTTTTGTTTCTTAGTGACTTGAACTTTATCTAACTGAACCTGTGATGTATGCTTTTAAGTAAGGGAGTAGTGATAGTGCCTCTCAAGAAGACTTATCATGGGAGGTAGTTTTCAGGCCCTCTCTGAAGGTACCAGTTTCAGCAGTGGCATTTTTCCTGGCCACATTTGGGCTGAGTTGTTTTCACATCACTGGTCTTTGCGAACCCTAGACATTAGAGAACTTGTTTGTAAACTATGAATCAACTCAAAACTGTCATTACTTGTTTGAGAAGCGCTGTAGGACATATACACAATCTAAATTAAGCAAATTCCACTACTTCTGGAGGCTTCAGCAGTACAGGGCATGACTATGCAAGTAGTTCTAATGTATAATTGGGGCAAAACATAGGGCAAGTTTCCTTACTCCACACACCTCTGTTTACCTAGCAGTAATTAGGAACCCCATTGTTAATTGATTGACGGATCGCTTTTCTGGGGGTAATAATCCCTTCAAAGATTAAAAAATAATAATAGTAATTTGGCTACTCAATCCACGACTGTTTGTGGCACACTGCTTTGTGCAATTAATTGGCTGCTGTGTTTCACCCACAAATATATAGTCAATTCAGTTTACAGTATATTCTGTGAAACGCTTTGAGATGTCACGTGATAAGTCGCTGTATCTAATGCAAGGATTATTATTATAATTAAGAGTGCAATTCTGTTGCCTGAAGCATGAAATGGAGGAGCTGTGCATGTTTGTTACTAACAGAGTTTTATTGCTATCTAGGTAGATAACCCAGTATCAATTTTAACACAAGAAATGAGCAAACATTTCTTGCAATCCAAAAGTGAAGCAGATAAATATAAGGTAAGCTATATTATGTGTTCATGACAATGTTATGTGATCACCTAAATGTTTTTAAATGTGTAATAAACCCAATTCAACATTGTCTGTCGGTGATAATGAATGATGTAATTAAGCTTTTATCTAGAAACCCTTGTTTTCTTTTAATACATGTAGATATTGTGAATTCAAATGGATATAATGGAATTTATTACTATACTTTTTCAACATAACTGTTGATTTCAGTTCAATTCATTCTCACTTAGAAATACCACAAGTTCCTACTTCTTGAAGTATAACACTCAACAACTTGTTGTTCACTCATTATTACCTGAAAAATGCGTCAACTATAAAAGTCAAACATTTTGTTGCAAAATTAACAACCAGATATATCAACTAGTGGAAAACATATTCTTGATGTTGTTTTGAAGTAAAGCAGCACAGTTGCATTCTAATCTAAACTTGCATGTTTTCCATGTCTTTCATAAAACCGATCTTTTTTAAAAAAAAGTTTTTCATGAAAGCCACTCAGCTGGAACAGATGCGAGAAGATTATGCCCATATAATGCGGACCAAGGCACTAACAAATGAGAAAATTGGAAAACAGGATGAAGTAAGTACAAGTGTGCATAAATAAGTTAACTTTGGGATTTTAAGTGAAGTTCATATATATGCTGCTGAAGTATAACATTGCCTTTATGCTGTTGCTGCTGGTGGTTGGATTATAATTGTTCCTTTGATGCTCAGTGTTTGATGACGAAAGATCAAAGAAACGATTAAGGTTCAGTTATCAAGAACAAAAAGGACAACATGACTCAGTAGGATGGACTCATTTAAGAACCAATTTAAAAAAAAGATTTCTACATAATATGTCTGCATATTTCATTTTATGAAAATGGCTTGCAGTTGAATAATACAATTTATATAGCACCTTTCACATTAGGAGGAAGTCTCAAAAGTCTTGAGAAAACTAGATGGGCACCCGAACTGGGAGTGGGGCTGAACTGAGAGGATGACTGAAAATGAAGTCAAAGGGTTATGTTTTGAGACGTGCCTTGAATAAAAGGAGGGAGGGAGGGAACGCGCCAGATGGACTCAGGGATGGAGTTTGGAGAATCCAGCAAGCAGCTTTCATGTCATCGAGGATAGACGTGACTGCTTATATTTTATTTAATTTAAAAAAATCCAAATTCAATGTCGCTCAAAGAATCCTGATTCACTCTACATGGGATTGTCTAGAATTAGAAGATATCCAAGACTTACCATTTTTGTTGATTGCACCACTAAAGATCATAATTTTAAATATGCGGTTTCAGCTGGTTAAGCTCCAGTAGTTCCCCCAATGCACACCCTGGGTCTCCAGGCTTGGTTGTTGCCTCTTGAGTATACCCAGGGTTAATCTTGATGATATTCCAGGATCCTTATGGAGCTGCTTGCAGATGCTAACTTTAGCAGAGTGTCTCCCTAAAGGAAGGGAGACCACAGATGGTATTTCTACATGGAATTCAAAAATAGAAGTGAACTTCTAAAAGATAGATTTTAAACTGATAATCTTACTTGGAGGTGTCATGGTGATTTTATTTTTTTACTAGATTGCATTGTTTTAATAACAGAATATATTCACTCAATGTTTATAAATGTATCACATATATATGGCATTATTTATACATGTATAAATATGCGTACTTATAAAATGTATAAATTGTACAGCGACCAATCTAGCTGTGGTTTGGAATGTGTTGGACTAGAAAAGTGTCCTTCTGTGTATGTGCTTTAGTAAGTACAGTCACTGTAGCTTAAAGATTATATGTAATTGTCCATGAATGCACACTCCACCTTATTAAGCCAGGCCGGAACCTCAGCGTCTTGTTTGACACTCAACTATCCTTTATGCCCCACATCAATGCCATGATCCGCTCTGCCTTCCCCCACCTCCGCAACATTGCCCGGCTCCACCACTGACTCACACCGCAGACTCCCGACACCCTCATGCACGCATTCATAACATCCAGGCTTGACTATGCAAACTCCTTGCTTGTCGGGCTCCGCCAACTCCTCCCTCCGTAGGCTGTTGATCATTCAGAACTCTGCAGCCTCTGTCCTCTCCCACACCAGGCTCCATGGCCCAATCACGGCCAGCTTCACCCGACTCCACTGGCTTCCCATCACACAGAGGATACAGTTCAAGATCCGGGTCCTCACCTTGAAAGCCCTCCATGGCCTCGCTCTCCCCTACCTCTGCAACCTCCTAACCCCCTACCAACCTGCCCGCTCCTTCACTCAGTAGGCTCCGGGCTGCTTCACGTCTCCCGCCTTGCCCGCCTCACCATTGGCGGGCGGGCTTTCAGCCATTCTGCCTCCATCCTCTGGAATTCCATCCCACAGTCCCTCCGCCTCACCCCCTCTCTTACCTCCTTCAAGATCCATCTCAAGACCTTCCTCTTCGACTGTGACATTGGGCACCCTCCTTCCCCCCCGCCCTCCACCCGTTCCCAGCGCCTTGGGACGTCCTCCCGACGGGAAAGGCACTATACAAATGTAATTTTTGATGTTGTTGTAATTCAATCTTGTTGAAAAGTCCCTATCAGAACTAAAGGAGCTAGTCAAGGAAAAAGAAGATCGATATAAAAGCCTTGCATCACTAGATGAACTCCAGGAGAAACTGGAGCAGCTCAAGAATCAGATGGTCTGGGCACTGGTAAGTTATTTTATTTTGGGAGATTTAATGGAACGGTCTCACTGAAACAGAACAACAACTTGGATTTATATAGCGCCCTCCACGCCGTCCGGCATCTCAGAGCGCTTCAAGAAATAATATAGCGCTACATTTTTGTTTTTAGGTATTTGTGGTTTCAAACTCCCAACTCCGGAACTTTGAACTCACACTGTCTATGGTGCCACTCCAGTACAGTCTTGGGGGATAGGTGCAATGTTGGTGGTGCCATCCTTTGGATGAACTGAGATCTCGCCTGCCTATTCAAGGCACCACTAAAGATCCTGTGGCACTATTTGAAATGCGTTGGGAGTTTCTAGACTTCTAGCAAACAACCCCTCCCTCCATTAAAATTGGTCATTCACTTCATTATATGGAAATTGGCTGCTGCATTTGTCTACGGAATAGTCATTGTACTCAGTAAATTCTCCGAAGCTCTTTGAGATGTTTTGGTGGTAGTGTGATGACAAGTTCTGTGCACAGGTCTCTGTATTAGATCTAACTATACAGTATTACCCAGCTTGATTTGTATTAATACCACCCAGTATTCTCATTCAATAGAGAAAAGTGAAGGGATTCCCAGTGTCTGGCCAAGAATTCTGCAGAATAATTTGTAATTCACATTGTGGATGTTTGTGGGACACATTGTGTACAAAAACGCTACAATAATCAGTATTCTTGGTAACAATTATTTGTGAAGCGCTTTGAGACGTTTTGACATTTTAGGTTCTGTAACAAATACAAGGATTATTATAATTATCAAACAGATAATATAAAACATGTGTTATCAATATACAATACAACACAGTTCTAAGGAATAATAATGGGATATGTAATAATAAAAAAGGCAAGGAGTGCATACATAATAATATTAATAATCCTTGATTACGTCCGCAAGCACAACCCTGAGCCTCCGGTTTCTTGCCACTCTCTCTCCTTCTCGCACTCTGACCTCTCCATTCATGGTCTCCTACGTTGTTCCAATGAAGCACAGCACAAGCTCAAGGAACAGACCTGGTCTATCTGCTAAGGCCCTTACAGCCCTCTGGCCCTTACAGCCCTCTGGCCTCAATATTGATTTCAATCACTTCAGACCATAAGAACAGCTCCCAACTCCCATAACAGCTTATCTTTCTCTTCTCCCTCTTCTGTGACCATTAACACATCATCTGAGTCCCAGACACACCATTTCTCTCTCTGGCCTGCCTCTGCTGCCCTCCTTTGTTTTGGATCAGTAACACCTCTCATCTCCTGTCCTCCATCCCATTTTCTCCTTTGTCTTTCTTGCCCCGCCACCCCTCTCTGTTAGTCCTTAAAACCTCTCCCAACATTCCCCTCTTCTGACGAAGAGTCATAAACCAAAGATTTTTTTATCCAAGATTAAATTTAAATTCTGGTAGTAGAGCTAAAAAGATAGTGTGTTCTCTTTATTTTCTCTCCCCTCCTGCACTTTGTATGAAAATATATCAAAAGCAACGAGTCGTGAAAGTGTTGAAGTACATGAGAATGCAGCCTACATCTGAAGTTTATCGACATAGATATTTATGATCCAATATAAGCCTTGCTAGAATAAGAATGATCTTTGCTTAGTTTAAGAATTACCACAAGCTATAATGCATGGCTTGGCACAGAGATAGCAACAACTGAAACCAACGAAGCATGAAGATAACACAATAGTAAATATATCACTATTTGGTATATCAATATATTTAATATATCTGTTCGTAACTTGCTTGCACTATGGACTGGTTAAACATCCAGCTTCTGATACATAAAATGCAGGTGCATAAGGCCTCCTGATATTTCAGCGACTGCTGGAAAAACTTGGAAGACTGATTGTAGGCTCTTGCAACATGGTTCAGAGACCTGATTGTCTATCTGGCAATCTGAAAGTATCCATTGGCAACTCCTATAACATGGGATCTGATTTTAAGGACCCAAACCATCACAGACCAACTCTATTGAGCAATCAAAAAATGTTTTCACATCATTTTAGAATAATATTACAGTACATTAAAAATACCAAAATTGCAGTTTGAGAGATGGTGGTGTTTAGGGTCAGAAATATACCAGTGAATCACTTTTAGGAATTAAACAAATGTTTTATTTATGAAAATATCAAAACAAACTATTACCGAATGAATAAAAGCAAAGCAACAGTTTGTACAACTCCACAGTGCCTTTTCCTTCAATGCACTCACCTACAAATACACACTGAGGCCAGTTCTCTTATATAGGTTGTTGCCTTCAATTACCTCATTAGCCTGGTAATGAGGTCTTGACATTTCAGTTTCTTCAATCCAACAGTCTGCCTCCCTACTGTAAACAGTGATAACATGTTTTCGAAATGTTAAAACACTGGCAATTTTCCATGGCTGTTATGACATTGTGTCAGCCTTTCTCTCGCTTTGACATTGTAACTTTTTCAGGCTTCTTTCTCATTCTCTCTCTGATTCGTTTAATTCTTTATTCTTTTCCATCTATATGACCCTCTAACTATTCACTGTTAATAGTTAATAATAATCCCTCCAAAACCAAAAACAATAATAAATTGGTCATTTTCATTCTACGACTGTTTGTGGGACATTGCTGTGCGCAATTGGCTGCCGCGTTCGCCCACAAATATACAGTCAATTCACTTTACAGTGTGTTCTGTGAAGCGCTTTGGGATGTCCTCCTGACATGAAAAGCGCTATATCAAATGCAAGGATTATTAATATTATTATTATTAATTTCAGATTTTCATTATGGATTAATCATGTTACATGTATAGAATATTTAAAGAAAGGAACCAGTTCAATTTGTGCTCTTGAGATTTTACAATTTGTGCTCTGAGATTTGCAATCCATAGAAGATGCCTCTGTGATGTATGAGTGCAGCCTCTAATCAATTTTATTTAAAAAAGCTTTCACATATATGCCCAGAGCTTATTTATGTTCTGAAATGTGTATCCTTTGATATTTGGTTAGGTTTTAGTCAGGTTAATGGATTTTGATAACCAAGGTAAAATTTGAGCATTACATTTTTGGCATTGTCTTATGGACATACAATAAATTGGATTATGTTAGTAAATATTCAGAAATCAGGGATGGGGGGAGATTCACGTTTTAAAATGTCATAACAAATGGATTGGAAATCCATATGTCCATGAGCCCTCTGTGTTAAGATGCAATATCCATCTACTTGAATTATGAACTGTAACTTGAAATGGCTTATATTAGATTATATTCACTTTGTGGAGTCCTGTAGCTCAGTGGTTAGAACACTCGCCTCGCAAGTGAGAGACCTGGGTTCGATTCCCAGCAGGGCGACACCTTGGGCAAGTTTCCTTACTCCACATGCCTGATAGTAATCCCTCAAGAAAAAAAATTGGTTACTTCAATCCACGACTCTGTGGGACACTGCTGTACGCAATTGGTTGCTGTGTTTCGCCCAAAAATATACAGTCGATTCACTACAGTGTATTCTGTGAAGTGCTTTGAGATGTCTAGAAAACGTGAACAGCGCTATATCAGATGCAAGGATTATTATGGCTAAAATGCTTTGTGTTTTTTTATTTCAAGGTCATCGAGCTTGAAAAAGACTTGCAACCAATAAAAGCTCGTATTAAAACAGAAGAAGGTCGCAGTGTCAAATATGATCAGAAAGTAGAGGAATGGCAGGTGATTACCATGGAGATTATGTTCACTTTTGCTTTGAAAACTTGTCTAAATTCACATTTGCCTGATCTAGCTGACATTTTAAAATGATGTCCTCTTGTTCTGGATTCTACACTGATGGAAATGTCAATCCTTGATTGTGATGTTCTCGGTTGTTTTTACTATCTTAAAGAGCACATTCAAATTACCCTTTAACCTCTAGGGCAGTGTGGTCCGATAGAAATTACTGACTAGCCACAAGTATGGCTACAGCAACACCATTTTAACCACCTGTACTCATTTTTGTAGAAAACGCCTTACACTCACACAATACAGGCGAATGTTTACATATATATTTACTTAATACATCTACCACCATTCAGTGCAAAACTTTGGAGTCTTCCTCTTTATTTTTCTTTCTCGAGACGCACCAGGCCTGCCCCTGCTCTCCATCCAGAACATGGTTGGATGCTGTTTGCCCATTGCCATGATGTGCCCTGTTGGAGCTGCTTGTGATTCGCTGGGCTTGCTTTCTTCTCCTGGCCTGGAGCAGTTTTCCCAATTGGTTGAGCTGACCATGATTGCCAGCTCCCCTCTCCATATCTCCCTGTTGGTGTTTCCGTTGTGCTGAAATCCAGTGTTACACACTATTTTATCAGATAATCAATAAGCAGTAACCAAGGAAGTAAAGCCCACACAGTGATCAAAAAACACTTGCTTTTCATCTTACTATTTTACCAACAAACACACAAAAAGGTGAAAGTATATATGCAAATATGAGTTTTGAGATCACATGCTCAACGACTATTTTATTTACGAATCAAAAATGCAATTTTGCCATATCTGGATTCCCAATTCGCCACATGTGGCTTGTGACTTGTATTGGACAACCCTGCTCTAGAGTATTTCACCCAAATTTGTCCATACAGTATACTCCTCGTAACTTGTCACTCCAAGAGAAAGGGCTGAGAGACAAATTATCCGATTGCCGAGTTTGGCGTATGTATAAATGCATGAATAAATGTGGCCGGGATATTGACAACATAATGACTTAAGTGGTAGTCACAAGTTAAGCCAGAGTTGCATTTTCAGGAATTTACTGTATTTTCATCAGAGTTATGTCCTTCACCCTCTATCATCCTGGTGAATTGCCGCTGGTCATATAGGAACAAGGACCTGTTGATCTTGCTCTTGTTATTAAGTCTCTGTCAACTCTTTAATTCTATTTCCCACCTTTACATTTCTTAATTTCCTGTGTCACCCTGGCTCATTCGGTAGCCTCTGCCACCCTCTGCGGAAGCCTCAGTCATGTCTTGTTGAAGGTGCCATGCTTCAGATGAGATGCTACACCAAGATCCCGTTCAAGTGTATGTTAAAGATCCCATGTTATTGTTCACAAAGAGAAGGGAGTTTCTCCCTTCTTTTCCGTAAAGAATATAACTAACTGCATTAGCACTTTCTTTTAGATTCTTAACTCATTGTGATGAATGGCAGCATATTGGGAAATTAGGAAGTAGAGCTGACTTTTTTCTCTTTGTTGTTTGGGGTTGGTTGAGTGTAAGTGGAGAGCGGTTTCCAAGAGGAATATGACATTTGAAGTTAAAACCCAAAACTTCTATAGTCTTGGCTCTGTTTCGCATTTTGCCCTTTGCAATATAATTGGTCAATTTACGTGCGAAAGACAGCAGCAAGAATTATGGAAAAACACACATTGTGTTTGAACGTAAACCTCATTTGGGTCAGAATACAAGTAAGAGGCATTCTACTATCGATGTTTCATATGATCTGTAAAATTACTCTCCGCATCTTGCAATTGCAGAAGGAAATTCACATCTTCAGTTATAATAAATGTGTTTGTCTGCCCAGCTTTGCAAATAAAATAGGAAGATTTTAAATGTTAGTTTGGGGTTTAAACTCATTTGTGCATTGTAGTTGAGCTGGTTTTGAAGTTCTATAATGCAGATCTGATTCCTTGAATGATCTAAATTTAACAAATGCACAGCAATTGTTACTATTTTTAAAATATATAAAAGTAACTTTGTTCTTTAGGTCAAAGTCAGTGAGGAAGAAGAAAAATTTAAAGCAGTTCAAGATCGGTTGCAGAAAATTACAGAGGAAACGCAAGTATTAGGACCACAGCGTACTGCTTTGAAAGAAGATGTACAAAGTAAAAACAAAGCATATAAAGAAACCGAGGTAGGTTTAATTAATAATCTGAACAGATGTATGAAATGCTATATTTTGTAAAGGCAATAACATATGAAAGAAATGAGCTAACAATGCACCATTTCTTGATGTATTCATCCCAAGGTTGCTTTGCTCTAGAACACAAAAATGTTGTCAAATGAAATATTTAAGGAGGTAGATGAATACAGTAAAACTCGTAAAAGTCTTTATAAGTCATATAGTGGTACATTCACCTCAGTCTCATTTACTTTTCTATCAATACCACTTGGATTTCTTTGCACTGCTTGTATTAATCACCTCCTAACACTGCTCCCCTCCATTATTCCCACATTTACCGTGAAGTCCGAGTTGCAGGTAAATTGCATAAGTCATATAAAATCCAATTTAATCAATAATCACCATTGTGCATGCATAATTCAGTGCAGCCGGTAAGTGTGCATGGGTCAAGATGCAATGAATCGTGGGAAATGTAATCTTGACCCGTCACTGAATGTGACCTGCTAATCCCATATCAACCTGTCCACTCACTCCACTCAGCAGGTTCCGGCCTGCTCCACGTCCCCCGCTCGACCTGCCCCACCTTTGGCGTTTGTGCCTTCAGCCTCTCTGCCACCACCCTTTGGAACTCCATCCCACAGTCCCTTTGCCTCGCTCCCTCCCTTGCCTCCTTCAAGGCATGTCTCAAGACCCTCCTCTTCGAACACACCTTTGGTCACACTCCGACCCCCTGCCCTCTGTACCCTCCTGATCCCAACCCCCTGCTCAGTTGTCTGAATCCCTGACTCTCCAGTGCCTTGGGATGTCCTCCTGATGTGAAAAGCGCTATACAAATGTAATTTATTGTACTTTCTTTTAAAATTTATACAAGCCTTGCTTTAATCTTTCTTGATCTAATTTTGAAGTGTCTTACTGTATATCACAGCTATGTTTGCGATTTAATTAACTAATTGCCCATATACAAAAGAATTTAAACTTTTTGAACTCTTTGTCAGGCAATGTTCCACCGCTACAGAACACAGTCGAAACAGCTTGAAAAAGATCATACACAATTACAACGCCGAATTGAAGAACTGAAAAATAGGTCTGAGGATTTTTGTGCAGTCTTAAGAAAATCTGGTTGGATCTTTTCTTACTTTACAAACCTAAATTATTTGCATTTTAGAAGTTGAGTCTTGCGTTTGACCAAATTCATACATCAGATTGTAATTTTTTTAGATAAATGTACGCATGTGTAGTATTTTAAATACAATTTTTCTTCCGTCACCCAAAATATATTTCAACTTTAACACTTTTCTTCAATTTTTCAACAGTGTAAATCAAAGCTCACAGGCTGACCTGCGGGAACGGCAGGAAAGAATTAACAGTCAGCAGGAGCAGCTGAAAGTGCTGAAGGATCAGGAGGCCACCACCCTGCAGCAGACAGACCAGTTTCAACATGCAATCAGCAAATCCAGAGACGAACTGTATCAACTTAGGTTTGTCCTCCAGCACAGCTTGGTCGATAAATTGTATTAATAACCTAATAGTGTCTGCCATTGATGAAACGCAACTGGCTACTACATTTTGCCTACAAAAAATAGTCAATTCACTTCACAGTATATTCTGTATAGCGCTTTGAGATGTCTCAATGAAATGATAAGGGACTTTATCAAATGCAAGGATTATTATGTTTTTTCTTCTCAGTAGCTAAAATCATATCAGTGGAGGCATAAAGTATATGAAGCAAAGAGCTTTTTTAAAAAAAAATTTATCTGGAAGAGCTGGAACTATAATAATCCTTGCATTTGATATAGCGCTTTTCAAGTCTTCTAGACGTCTCAAAGTGCTTCACAGAATAGACTGTAAAGTGAATTGACTATATTTGTGGGCGAAATGCAGCAGCCAATTGCGCACAGCAGTGTCCCACAAACAGTCGTGGATTGAAGTGACCAATTTATTATTGTTTTTTTTTCTTGAGGGATTATGTCTAAAATTGACTTTCCTCACCTGGAGGCTGTTGTACTCGGGTTCATTGATGAATTTGCTCCTTCAGCAATCCTCTAGCCGTTAGGTGGCTCTAGACCTACCAAACTGATCTGAAACACTTCTCGCTGAAATAAACAGCCATTCTGAGACGGGTGCAGTTCTTCCCATTGTTGATGAAACTGAACTCAATGTGTATAACTGTACTCCATGCTTTGGTGATTTAACTTTTACGCGGTTGAATGACTCAATTATATTTAAAAAATAGGATGTACACAGACTAATGAAAGAAGCTTGGTGAGGGAATTTCAATGGAGGCAATATAAAGAAGAAAATGGGGAGCACTGTGCATAGCCTATGTTCCAACATTACAGTGCTGAAAGCATTTTAAAAGCATTTTTTATATTTAATCATTTTCCCTGTGCGTGGATTAGATCTCAATAAGGATTCCCTTTTAGTATCGTGAATTTTTGCAACTTTCAGTTTCCCTAATGTAGTTGTATTACTTACCACTTCCCTGTTCTAAATGGAAGAAAAAATACATTTTAAAGGAACGCATCAGGTGTTGCTGGCAGCAGAACCATACATGCCTTTATTTTAATAATAATATTCCTTGCAATTGATATAGCGCCTCAACATGTCTTCGAGAGTCTCAAAACGCTTCATAGAATATATTGTAAAGTGAATTGACTGTATAATAATAATAATAATCCTTGCATTTGATATAGCGCTTTTCACGTTGGGAGGACGTCCCAAAGCGTTTCACAGAACACACTGTAAAGTGAATTGACTGTATATTTTGTGGGAGAAATGTGACAGCCAATTGCGCACAAACAGTTGTGAATTGAGTGATGAGTTTTTGTTAGAAGCAATTATTACCCCCTGAAAATCGATCCGCCAATTGACTAACATCTGGGTTCCTACTTTCGGCTAGGTAAACAAAGGCATGTGGAGTAAGGAAACTTGCCCTACGATTTTTCACCCTGTCGGGAATTGAACCCAGGCCACTCACTTGCGAGGCGAGTGCTCTAACACTGAGCTGCGGACTCCTTAAATAGCATCTAATTTTTTTGCTTTTTAAATATAAAGATTACATTAACCTTTTTCGAAATTAATTGTTCCACCAAATTTCTCAATTGGTGAAGATATCTATGGCTTCCGTTTTAAGTCCAAGGAACATCAGAGATTTTCAAAGTCCCATTTTGTTTACAGAAAGAAAGCCTTATTTGTTGGTCACTCTCTGTTCCTCAATCTTCCTTTAAAGTATTTTCAGTGCAGTTTTTTTTTAAAGTGCCTCAATTTTCTATCCTGTTCGGAATCTTACTTCAATTCCTTCCTAACAAAGTGTATGTTAAGCTTTAAATCGCAAATGGTCTTGAAAAGTAAACCAATTTAAAACCTTTGCTTTGGTCAACCTACTGTATGACAAACACATTATACTTAAGAATCTCTAAATCAAGCTACTTAGCATTCTTTATAACCTATGTGACGCAGTCTGGCGTGAAGGGTGCTATATAAATGCAAGTTGTTGTTGTATACAATTTCTAATTGTCTACATTGCTATGGAGTATGGGCACAGGTTGGCAATAACCAGAGTATAGGGTACTGCTGGAGTGTAACCAGCTAAGGCCCTGCAGCTTGACATTGCCATTGTATGCAAGCTACCCACGGTTTGTCCATCTATTGAGATAGCTGGACCAAACTAACCATTAGGGCTTTGTCTTGCAATGTTAGCCAAGCTGAGTCGGAAGAGTCGCAGCTCGAATAACTAATCCGTTCCTCCAAATCCTGCTGATGAGCCAGGCTGGCTGGTCTGTCATCATCATTGCCTTGGAGAAGTACAGATCTGCCTATCTCAAGGAACTGGACAATCAAGACTACCACAGTGGAACAACTCAAATTCCTGTATTCCATCATTACCAGGCATGTCACCTTGGAGACTCCACGTACCATCTCCTTTCCCCAAAGAAGTTAGACATTGCACCAATACTTCTAAATGTAATTGTGAAAAGGTGATATTCATTTTATTAGAGTTAAATATGTAAAGACCTCTTCAAGAAATAGACTATTTCATAGGTATCTTTGTTTTTAAAGTTTATGTTTTTGTGCATAATCATGCCGTAGTTGTGGTATTTATTGTGCTTATACATCCCCAGGCGAGAAGAACAAGATGTAAAAAACGTTTGTGAATCCAGGAAGAGACGCCTGAAAGAGCTAAAGGCCAGTCGAACAGACAGGCTGGAACGCTTTGGAGAGAACGTGCCTTCATTGCTCAATGCAATAGAGGAAGCACATAAGGGTGGCCGTTTCCGTAAGAAACCAGTTGGCCCTTTAGGTAAATCTGATTAGGTTACTGTACAATTTATTCTTTTATTCCTAAGATTCTTGTAAAATAAATGCTAGTAACATAGTTTGAGAATTATGAAGTGCTGCCAGTCATTAAGACAGACATTTCTTTTAATCTTTAGGTGCTTGCTTCAGACTGAAATATCCGGAATTCGGTTTAGCAGTTGAAAGTTGTTTGAAGGGACTGTTGCTTTCATTTTGCTGCGATAATTTCAGAGATGAACAGGTTTTGCAGTCTTTGATGTCTCGAAACTTCAGGACTGGAAGAAGACCCCAAATTAATGTGTGCGAGTTTCAGAATGATGTGTACGATGTAAGGGGCAAGTAAGTTTTCAAACACTCAACTGTTTCAAAGATGTTAGAACATAAAAAAGTTACAATTTATAAGGAGGAATCAGTAGCTAAATAGATCTGTAAATAGGAGATATAATTTGAATTTGTCGATTTTTAAAAGCGAAGATATGTTGATGAGTTTGAATTATGCTTGCTTTATATGAGATTTAATTGTATATTGCAGTTGAAAATGACATTTGGGGTGCCTTGTACAATAGTGATAGTAATAGTAATTATTAGTAGTTAATTAGATGCCTGTACCTTGCAGTGCATTAATGCTGCAATTCTATTTTGATTCTATATTGCATTGTCTTTGTTAATGAAGAGATAACAGCATATTACTATAGCTTCTCGTACACAAAAGTACATCTAGTACTTGATCCAGTAATACCTGATTATGTTTTAAGATCCCCTGTCAACAAGTGACAACATTAAGATAACCATTAACTCTCCCTTCTCTTTGAAGAGGTGTTTATCATCCAGATTTCCCAACAATTCTTGATGCCATAGAAATAGATAATGCAGTGGTGGCAAACTGTTTGATTGATATGCGAGGAATAGAAAGAGTCCTGTTAATCAAAGTAAGTAGTTGTTTTACATTTATCTTAAGCTGGTGGTTGTCAAACAATGTCTTTTGAGTATTTACTTTCTTTCCCTATTATCGTAGATACGTAGGAGAACAACAACAACAAGACTACATTTGTATAGCGCCTTTCACGTCGGGAGGACGTCTCAAGGTGCTGATACAAAATAAAAGTAGTGATTAATTGTATGTTACAACTGTATTTTTAATGGTGAATTGAAATAGGTTTGGATTGAGTGCAATGCACTTTTATTTAAAAAATGTGCTACATGTTACTTGATTGCTATAGTCCCTTTGATAAAAAAAAGTTCTTTTAATCGCATGGATATTTGACATGCACAGGAATCCAGCATCATGCTTAAGACTATCCAAACCAAACTGAAATGGAACATATGCTTGGAAATGTGGTACACCCTCTCTCCCTGCGGACACCTTACTCACGTAATCCCCAAAAGTGTTAAGTGTAGGTTGGTGTGAGCCAAGACTTGGGGACCCCAGAATGCTCATTGGGGTACTGATGGAGTTTGATCAGCTAAAACTGTTATTTTTAAACTCATGTTGGTTAGTGTTGCTCTTAAGAATAAGGCCTGGATTAACACATATTATGTTTCTGTTTTAAATTTTCTATGTTCTCTCTTAATAATAATAATCCTTGCATTTGATATAGCGCTTTTCACGTCTTCTAGACGTCCCAAAGCACTTCGCAGAATATACTGTAAAGTGAATTGACTGTATATTTGTGGGCGAACGCGGCAGCCAATTGCGCACAGCAATGTCCCACAAACAGTCATGGATTGAAAATGACCAATTTATTATTGTTTTGTTTTTTTCGAGGGATTATTATTCTATTATTAGCCATTAGACCAAATGTATGTGAAATTCTGAGAGGTATTTTTTATTTTCATACAAACTAATTCTGTTATGTCTGCAATAATAAGGTATGAAAACCAAATATGTGTAAAATTAATTTTCCTTTGTAGGACAACAGCACAGCGCGTAAAGTTATGCAGCAACAAAAGGCACCTAAGAACTGCAGAGAAGCTTTTACAGAAGCAGGTGACCAGGTCTTTACAAACCGCTACTACTCCTCAGAAATGGATAGAGCAAGATACCTGGGTAGTGATGTAGAAACAGAAATCAGGTTTGTACATTTGTACATTTCTTCATTGAATGTGATTGTATCAAAACATCTCAAAGGAATAGATCACGGCTTTCAAAGTGGTCCGTGGGGGAGCACGAGATGGTTTAAGGGGGGCCGGGGTGCACAAGGCAGCAACTGGAACAAACCTTTTATAGTTCTAATATGTTATGTATTGCTGTCAGTGATTCACCATGCAATAGTTTTCACGTTAAAGGCTTGGACGTCATAGACGAGGAGTGATTTGCCAACCGTGCTGTATAAATAGGTCCTCAGACAGCATGAATCCCGCATGAATAATATTGACTTGTTTTTTATGCAAATCATTCAAACTGTTACCTTTGGGTTTCATTCACTGTTACTTGTAGTGATCTACCCGATCATTGTATTGAGGTCTTCTCCAAAATCTGTGTTTCTCAAGCAGCAAATTAACTATTTTTATTCTAATTGGTGTTGTGATAAGTATAATTGCATATCATGATAACCTCAAACACCCAATAAGGGTTCAATGCCAACTTGGATCTAGTGTGTACCCTGATTTTGTTTGACATTCATTCCTACTGTTGGTCTGACTGTCAGTATAAATGAAGGCACTACCTACCTGAATTAATTTATATGAAATTAGACTAAATCCCCATCTAACCGAACTGATAGGGCGGAGATCCAGTCTGGCAAACCGAATTTTCCAGCTAATTACTAATCCTAATCTCTAACATTTAAAGTAAATAAAAATAAATCCTCCCTAACGTTTCAGATGAATAAGAAGGAGCTTTGAATGAATGAAATAAAATATCCAAAAAACAAAAAAACAATAGTTCTGTATTTGCCACTGATGTGATGCAGCTCTTTTGATGCCTTTGCCTTAACCAATCAGTGTCAAGATCTGGGATGGCTGGAGTTTGAAAACGTGGGGTGGACTTGAATCACAGATTTTTTTTCAGAGCTGTCCAACTAATTTTGAATTCCCGGATATTTGGGGTCCCGATAGCCGGGGGTTTACTGTGTAATAATCCTTGCATTGATATAGTGTTTTGACTTTGTTGAAATGTCCTAAACAGGATTTTACTGTAGACTGTAAATAGCTGTATTTGAAGGCAGATATGGCAGCCAATTTGTGTGCAGCAATGCCCTGGGGTGAATAGCCAATTTTATTTGGGGGATTTTTAGCTAGTACACTGGGAGACTTACTATTTTCAAATAGTACCAATGGTATCTTTAATGACTGCCTAAAAATTAGCTTGCTGTTATACTTAATCCTTTAACTGAGCTCAGTTGTCCCACTCTTCTGTCAGGTGTCTTTCTGGATATTCAATGCAACCCTACCCTCTCTTTTATCAAACCTATGAAAAGTGCTTATATCAAACATGGCAAATACAGCTACAACAAGTGCACCTTGTCTCTGAGCAACAAAGGAATCAGTTTATTAACTATTAACTCCAGAGCTTTCCCACCATTCGGAATATTGTTGCACACTCCCCAAATTTTAAGAATATTGTTCATGCAGAAGCTGCTGCTTAAGTACATAGTATCAATTTTGAAAGATTTGGGTTTAGTAACTGCAAAAGAACAGCTTTTTCACTATTTGTTACAGGGTAGGAGTCAGTGATGATTCAGCCCGTTGATGGCTATCTACAGTGAAAAGGGTACTTTGAGAGTGAGAGTCAGTATTCATCTTCTTTTGAAGAAGTTCAGATTTTTGGATATATATTCTTGACTAACTAAAGCCAATATAAATCCAGAATGGAACATGGGACTTGGTTATGATGCATTTGCAGTTACTTGACCTGATGCCTGTATTACAGAAATGTTGATAGACTGTAGGTGTTCTCTGGGCACAGCTATCAACAACAACACCACTCTGTATTTATATAGTGCCCTTTACGCTGGATAGTGTACCAGAGTGCTTGCCTTATAAATAATAATAAGATGACACAGTTATCGCACTTTCAACAGCGATTGCAGAGCTCTGCCTTTAACATTATTAAAGAGTTCTAGCTATTTGTCAACAATTTAAAAAGAAATAAGAGGCAGGTAAAGGCTGTAGCTTACATCATTCATGTGCTTCAGAAGCAATCATTCAGGGGCAGAATTACCACTAGGAGTCATCACTATGTTAATTGCTGAAAGAATTAATTATAGAAGAAAGTTACTGTGCTTGGCATATATTTTCTTTTCAAAAATGCGGATTGTCCATGTCTAAGGTTCTCTGTTTTACAGACAGCTGGAAATTGAAATCAATAACAAGGTGGCACAATTATCACACTTTCAACAGCGATTGCAATCAATAGAGGAAGAAATCAGGCTGAATGAGGTCCAGTTGAAAAAGAAACAGATCCAAAGAAGGCAAATCCAGGTCAGAAGTTTAAAAAAAGCACTACATTTGATTCTAGTAACTCCCTGCTGTCCAATTTTCTTTATAGAGAATTAATAATCCTTGCATTTGTTCACACTGGGTAGCATGGACAAATGAAAATGTGTGCCTTTCACATGACGACATCTCATAGTGCTTCACAGCTGTTACACTGTAAAGTGTAGAGACTGTGTATTTTGTAGGTGACCCTTCACTGATCCTGAATATGTTTTTGGCTCCCCTCTCTCTACTCTGAATACAGGCATCAGTTGCTTTCCAATACCTTGCCCAAGTATATATAATTCAGGCCACTCATTCACATGAGTACCTCCAGCAAAGTTCTGAAGCAGATGGTAGTGCCCTTATGCACTTCAGTGCGTTAACTCAGAAGAACTGCAAGTCAAAACTGCCAGTTTGTACAGCAAAATTGGTAACTGAGTAGTTTCAACATTACTCAGTACCCAGTTTATTTGTTTAAATGTTTAGTCAGTTTTTATAGAAATGACAGAGTAAAGGCACTAACTACAAAGAGTTCCTCAAGAAAGAAACCCAATTCCGCACTAAACAATTTACAGTTATTTAGTACCTTTCATCTCAAGACACCTCAAAGCTTTTACTATACTCCTGTAGTACTAATGTTAATATATATTTTGAATTATTTCAGGAAAACATTACAAAACACAATTTAGAAATTGCAGATTTAGAGAATGTGGAGGAACTGCAGTCAGTAGACATCTCAACACTGGTAAGTGCGTTGACCGTTTTTGTTCATATTTAATTGAAAATCTGGGCATATACACTGTCTATTTTAGGTCTGCTGTAAACAGAAATGGTTGAAATGTTCTAGCTTTTTCTGGATCATGTTGTGAGTTTTCATAGACATGAAACATATTAATCTTACAATTTAGGATTGTAATTTTTTTTAATCCTAGGAAGAAGAAGCCCAAGATATCTGGCGCAGAATCGAGTCTGGCAAGGGTAAATTGGAGAAGGCCAAGGAAGACATGGATGTGCACAGAAAAATCTTGGATGAGGCTGAACAAAACTATAAAGAGATAAAAGAGAAAATAAGTTTGATAGCTGAAGAAGCTGATCCAATAAAGGTGCACATTAATGGTGAAATGTTTTCCAAGGTTTCCTAATTTTGTTTATAAAGTTAAACAAAACGCCTACATTTCCTCTCAACAGGAAGAACTGAGTTCGATTGACACGGAGATTGTAAAGGACAAACACCTTTGGAGGCATTATGAGAACAAGAAAAAGGAGCACTTGTACGGTATAGATAAATTGAAGGAAGATCTGACTACTAAGGAAAAAGTTTTAGAGGTACACAAATTTACAAAATTGTATTTGTTATATTAGAACTACAGGTATAGTGTTAGTGAAAATTTCAATCTCTGCCTCCCTTCCTCTCGTTCTCTCCCTCTCAGTTTCGGACTGGTCACGTGTTCAGAAAACAGTTATCTCATTAAGCAGTTGTATTTCTTAAATCACTTGAGGTCCAGAAAGTGATGATGACTAAATAGTTTATCTCTTACAATATGGTACAATTTACATTTATATAATACCTTCCACGTCGAAAGGACATCCCAAAGTACTTGACGATTCTGGTTGGACACTGAACTGAGCTTAGGAGCTGAGGGGGTTAAGGTGGGGAAAGGTGACTGAAAGTGGTCCAAGAAGTATGTTTTGAGACATACTTTGAAAGAGTGGAGGAAGGGAGCAAGAGGGGAGGAAGTGGAAATAAATTTCTGGAAAACGGGCTGAAAGTATTCCAGTGGCTGAAAGGCTGCCTGCTAATGGAGGGGCGAATAGGGCCAGTGTCGGCTGCGCAAAGGGAACGATGGAGTTGGTATGGGTGAAGGAGGTTGCAGAGGTAGGGTGGGTTGAGTCCATGGAGGATTTTACAGGAAGAAGGATCTTGAACTCTTATCTGTTGGAGCCATAGAGCCGAGCAGGTCTATTAGGCTAATGGAGCCTGGCGTGGGAGAGGACAAGGGCAGCAGAGTTTGGGATAGTCTGCAGCCTGTTCATGGAAGAGCTGACAAGCAGAAAGTTGGCATAGTCGAGCCTGGATGTAATAAAGGTGTAGATGATTGTCTTGGCAGCCCAAGGGCAGTAAAACTAAGTTATGGAGGTGAGGAAAAGCTGAGCACAGATATGGATTTGAATGACAGTTGGGGGTTAAAACAAGACATTGAGCTTCTGGACTGGCTGTGCAAGGTGGAGTGCAATGATGGAATGCCTTCACTGGTTCCTTATGATTTTGATTGTTGTAGGAAAATACTTCTAAAGCCAGTCAGATCTGCAAAGAACGGTTGGAAGTCACCAAAACCCCAAAGAGCATCGATTTGGAGATCAATCATTTGAGAGAAAGGATCAACACCGAACAGAAACTTCATGGAAACAGGGAGGAAATTATAAGGTATTCCTGTTTCATATAAAAGCAGATTGCTATTTTATGAAGTTGTAACATCTTTTCAAACATTTCAAACTCTAAACGGACATAAAACTTCACGTAAGCAAGCTTTAGTCTCCTATGAACTGGAACTGTGTCTGCAGAGGCAACTTGTAGATTTGCTGACAGGATTTATCTTTGTAGGTTTACACAAAAGGTTTTCCAGAGATCGCTGTAGCTAAACCTTGCTGTTTGTCAATTCTGATTAAGAGGAAGAATTTACTGAATACACACTGAATCCCCATCTCCTACCTTCCACGTAAGAATGATGTTTCCCTTGTGGAATGGGTGTTCTCAGATAAGATACGTTCATTGAATTCTGATGAGAATTCAACTGCAAGCATGTTATCAGCTCCAGGCCAGGCCATCGGGGAAAGGTAGTGAACTAGCGATAAATTTCCTCAGAGAGATAATCAAAGGCATGTCAAGCTAAACCACAGTCAGATACTAAGTAGCTAGTCACCAACTGGAATACATTGGCTGCCTTGGTCAGGAAATGCTTTGTTAGAGGAGACCCAAGAGGGTGACAATATCTGAAAAACTGGAACAAAAGAATACTTTATACAGATTCTATTGACCCTAATGTGTAAACTTTTCCTATTCCTCCTTATTTAAGATCATTGCTCAGATTTATCGAAATTAAATTAATACAATTTTTATTTTAAATTACAGAACTCACAAATACTTTAAAATCTAAAATGTGGAATATACAAATAATAATGGGACATTCTTGATCAATTAGTCACACATCCATAAAGATTCAGGCAAGACAAATAATTAGGCAAAATGCTGAACGTGATGGGAAAAGGCTATTCAGCCATCATATTGAATCCATTGACAACAACCTGAATTTATGTAGCACCTTATAAGTGGAAGTTGTTTTTTCTTCGTGTCTCTCACATGCCTAATCAACAACAAACATCTGTGTTCTCAGGCTGCATTCTTAATCCTTCAGATGTTATTATCTCCTCTGATCTGAAATGGAGCTCACTGTATTGCTAATCTCAGTCTAGTTTCCAATTTCTTTTTTTGTTGCGCCCTTTTCCTTTGAAGACTTTACAGTTGCTCCTAAAACCTGGGGAATCTAATTTAGCACCTCTTGTATATTCTGATATCACAATGTTTTAGGACTGCATTATACCAAATCCACAGTCGCACAGTCATTACATTTTACGCTAAAATTTTCGACAATGTGTTATTGTTCTATAAGATGGATAAGTATATTTTGTGCACTTTACAATTTGTTCAAATTAAATTATGTTTTTGTGTATATTTGAGTATCAGTTGTAATGGATTTCCTTTTTAACTTAATAAAGCAGTATTTACATTGTTTTCAAATAGGCAATACTTTGAAGTTTTGGAAACATACAAAAGGGTAAAAGGCCAGATCAAGAGCCTGAAGAAGTTTATGCGGCTGCTAACTAAAATAATGGAAGGTAGACACAGAGCATATAAAATATTCAGAAGGTAAGTGACTTAAGGAATTTAGTACCAGTGTGAATGTTATTTGATTATATTTTAAATGTTTTTACCTAATACTAGGTATTTGTGAAACATCTTTTATTTATTCCGCTGCTGCAATAAGTTGACCAGCCATAAATGAGATGTTATTTCAGACAGGCGGTGTTTCTCGGATGTTGTATTTTAAAACCTTTATCTCTGTCATTGATTTGCCGACACGTTTTAATCGATAATGGGAACATATGAGCATTTTCCATCTTTAGATGACTTGACAATAAGTTTCCATGTTCCCTCCACAGAACATGTACAACTTGGTCTTTCGTGGACTCCATCCAATCCACGTGGCTTGGGGAGGCAGCCATAAAATGAGCCATTCATAGTTTCAGTATGCAGGCTGTACGTTTGGCTTAATCTTTGAGACGAGCATGTGCAACTACCAAGATTAACTATGTAGCTGCACTAACTGATTGATTACACTGATTTTACTGCTCCCTTGACATGGGCTGCGCTTACGAAGTTGATCATTTGCTTTGCAGGTTGATTTTTTTTAATGTGGACTGAGTTCACGCTTTGGAAGATAATAGAATTAGAGGAAGCTTTAAAACCACAATATCTATATTTCAAAAGAAAAGTATGAATCAAAAGAAATGCTGCCTGACTGAAAGAAGTGTCTTATTTATAGCAGGTACCTTATTACAGCAGTGCTGTAAAAGCTCCAGGTTAATTGAATTGGACATTAATGATTTCAATCATCTTAACTAAACATTCCGAGATGCAATCTGTATAAAGGGCAGTCGGTAATCGCAAGTTGTAACTATGAACAGTTTATCTCATCTGATATCTTAGTTGCATAGAACTATTATAACTACTTGCTATAGTGATATTTTGTAAAATCTCATTAAAAAAGGATCCTGGTACTGTAGTTTGAACATTATCCTTGAACTGGCTTTCATCTATATTTTGGTATATTTGCAGAGTCAAAGTGGAAAGATGCACTACAGCGCTTTGAGAACACGAGAAACCTGTTATACTTTATTTTACAAGAGTTTAGTTTGCAATGTGATTGCTTTATGTAACCAACAGGAATTTTTATTAATTCCTCACTTGACAATTTTGGAATTACAGCCTTTGCCTCTTCTAGTTATAACGCCTTAATGACTACTTGGTGGAGTCCTGTAGCTCAGTGGTTAGAGCACTCGCCTCACAAGTGAGAGACCTGGGTTTGATTCCTGACAGGGCGAAACCTTGGGCAACTTTCCTTACTCCACACGCCTAAAAGTAAGCCCTCAAGAAAAAAATAATAATTTGGTCACTCAATCCACGACTATTTGTGGGACACAACTATGCGCAATTGGCTGCCGCATTTCGCCCACAAATGCACAAATATACTTTACAGTATATGCTGTGAAGCGCTTTGAGACATCTAGAAGATGTGAACAGCGCTATATCAAATGCAAGGATTATTATTATGATTATTATTATCTACCAGACACTAAAAATAGCAGCAAGGCTCTTAAAGAATGTACATAGGAGTCTTTGTCTTCATTTCCAGAAGAATAGAGTACAAATCCAAACATTGGTTAGTCATTTGTACAGTGCAGTTTTGGTCGCTATACCACAGGAAGTATAGGGATGCTGTGTAGATGTGCAAGGATGCTATTATGGGTGAGTGAATACAGCCATCAAGAAAGGATTTGAAAAGGTGGTTGATAATATACTGTTTCCACTTGTTGGTGAGTTCAAAATGAAGGGGCATATATAGTAGCTGATCTAAAAGAAAGTTTAGCAGCATCTTCTTCACATAGAGGGTGGTGTGAACGTGGAACTCCCTGCTCAGTACGTAACAGTAAATGGAATAAAATCCCTTTTATAGTAGGAAAGAAAAAACGGCAAATTCCCTGTGGAAATGCATGAGAAAGATAATTAGGAAGTCCTTTCAAATGGACATTAAGGATTGTTTTACGAGGCAATTACTATAGATGTATGTCTAGTGAAATAAGATATTCAAGGATATGGCGAGGGGGAAATGTTAGATAGTTGTGTTTGAAATCAATCAATATAGAACAGATTTCTCAAACCTCATGTCTTCTGTCCTAAAATGTACTTTTGTCCCAAGGTGAAAAAGTGGGGACTTGAAATTGGAAAAATAGAGTTGATATGATATGTCAAGTTTGCTGGGTCAAATACCCTACTGTTGTTCCCTTTTAGTGAGTCCCCATTATCACTCTGCTCCTGGTCTGGCCTCCCTTTGGTTGGTGGGATTCAATGAGTGTTGTTTACCTTACCATGTTTGTTAATTTGGTAAGTGTTCACTTTTGAACAGATATAAGTGCTTCTTGAAGAATGATTGAATGTCTATGTGTAAAACCTGCTGTATTTTTGTAAAAGTTTATATCCATTTTACTTTCTTTTTCTGTTTGATGTAAATAGGTACATTTCTCTTCGCTGCAAGTATTACTTTAACACGATGCTCTCTCAGCGAGGTTACCATGGAAAAATGAACTTCGACCATAAAAATGAAACCCTTTCAATTGCAGTGAGTTGTTTACTTTAAGGCTCATATTCTTTTTCAATTAATCGGGAGAAGAAACTGGTGAAAGTAATGTGGAAGTCTCACATTCAGAAATATTTCAGTTAAATATGCCTTAGCCTCGATTAATGATGCGATGCAGGTGGCCATGGCTAATAGGAACTGGAGCACCAGGGCAGGCGTCGAGAGTGTACTGATTAGGTGAGAAAGGATTTGTGAGAAATTTCGCCAGCTTTGTGAAATGTAGCATCTGAGCTTTAGCTTTTGAAGAAAACTTTGAACTTTGTTGAAATAGATGGCTTCAAGACAGTAAATGGTATCAATTCATACATGATGCAATTAATTTGTGCTGATGGGTTTTGATCAGCTGTTTTGAGACTGAACCTTATTTTGTTCACAAATTGTCTATTCAGGAAAATAAGTACTTGCTTAGTGTTTTGAACTGAAACTGTTAATGTGAGAATCTTTAACAAACCATTCTACAGAATAACCAGGAAATGAAAATAGAGTGTTTTAGCTTTCATCAGTCCTACAAACATTGTGCTGCCCAAAACAACTATTTTACAGTTAAACGTCAGTTCAGCATTAACTCTTTCTTTGTAGTAAGAGGGAAAGGACAGATCCGATGTCATTGTGTTGAAATCACCTTCAGTTGCAAAGAACTCTGATTAACATTAATACTTTTTTCATTCTTTTCACTACAGATAATTTAGTTGAATTGTGACTGCTGATAGCATTTACCATTAGTGAGTTTCTAAAACAGTTTAAGTAACCCATTTACATTAGACAGCAGAGTAAGATTATATGAAATGTACATTTTTCGTAAATCGTGTCAAATAATTTGTTGCTAATACATTGTTACAAATCAAAGATGTGCTGAAATCCTTACATGCTATCTGCATCAACGTACCATTTCCCTTTCCCATTGAAAACAAAGCATTGGTACATTCAAAGAGAAACAACAAACAAACAACAAAATTATATTTGTGAAAAGGATGTAATAAGTGTTAATCAGTAAGTATTGTGTTTTCCGGGGGATTTTTTTTGTGTACCTTGCTTATCCGTTCACTCCCTGGCATCTCCCTAACTCTCCGAACTCCCCTATCCACCACCCGGCACCTCCGCTCGACTGGCACGTGCCTCCTGCTCGTCCTTCGCACCCTCCGCTCCACCATCAGAGGTCATGCTTTCAGCCACTACACCTCCAAAACTCGGAACACTCTCCCTCAATCCCTCCGCCTTGCCCCCTCTCTCTCCTCTTTCAAGTCCCGCCTGAAAACTTTCCTCTTCAATCGTGCTTACGGCCACCTCCTGGCTCGGAGTCGGGCTCCACCACTGTTAAGCGCTCTGAGATGCTACCTTGAGTGGAGGGCGCAAATTGTTGGTAAAGAGAAAGATTCATGGTGCCATTCTTTTCAGAAACAGGAACTAGGTTAGAAACAATGACCCATTTGGAATGATTGAAAATTACAAAAAGGAAAAGTATGATCCTTATCTCATCCCAGTAACTTGGATTCCAGTAAAGTCAATCAAGTACAATGCCAACTTTGTGTGCGTGTGTGTGTGGTTCATATTATTGGAAATTTCTGAAATCTCTGTTTATTGTAGGTACAGCCTGGAGAGGGGGACAAGGCAGCACTGAGTGACATGCGATCCCTTTCTGGAGGTGAACGATCATTCTCAACTGTGTGCTTCATCCTTTCCCTGTGGGATACAATGGAGTCTCCTTTCAGATGCCTGGATGAATTTGATGTGTATATGGTATGCTTATGGCTCATTTAAATTCTTTTTCCAGTTTATTGATACAGAACACCTAATCGCAACTCGTAGTTTTAACTGCCATTTTCAAAACCTCTGTATGTTGGAGCAATCTGGCTAAGTTGGTAGGACTCTTGAGCACAGGACATTGAGCACAGTCTAGTGTAACAGTCTGGTGAAGTGCTGGGAGAATAGTGCAATGTCCTGATTGATTTTTCATAATAAATCACCTCTGTTCAGTAACCACCTGTCTAATGCAACCAGTGGCCACTCTATTTTAGCCATATTGGTGTAAAGACACCTTTTCAGTAACCAGTTCTAAGTGAATTTAAGTGCACCTACTGGTAATACATTATTTCCATGGGCCCGTGTGTAGACTCCCACTGGATTCCTGGCGAATTTACCTACGCTGCGTTGAGCAGCCCACGTGATCACCACCAGCGTGCAGACTACCACTAGAATGAACCAACGAACCCCTACTGCAAGGCCACCCTTATGTAAAGGCCACTTTGGTCCTGTCTCCTGAGTGGTTGCCAAAACCAGGTTTGACTATAGATGGTGATGGTGCCATTGAAGACTGCAAAAGATTAGTCACAAAGATTCTGGGGAAACTGATTTTTTGTTAAATTCGGTTTATGTGGTTCACTTCCATGCTTCCGCACATAATGAATTCCAGATGTTTTGTATGCTGTGATGACACAGGATTCTCCACCTTTGGTTGTTGGAATGAAAGTAAAAGTGGAAAGGCAGTTTTCTGTGATTCCTACACATCCTCTTGGTTTGTGAATTGTGTATGTGTATACAGTAGAAAATCTCAGACTAACCATTCATTATGTAATTCACCTCTGCATTTGATGTTCAGTTAACTCACAACCTCTTAGCTAGTTAATTATTTATCATTTTAGTAACCTGTATTCTATTTTAAACAGGTTTCCTTGGTGAGTGAGAAATAATCACAATCAGTTCTGTATTAAATGACTTAAGAGATTCCTCTGTTTTGATCTTCTGTTGACATTTCTACTTGCATTCCTGTTAATTGTCAGGACATGGTTAATCGTAGGATTTCAATGGACATGATGCTAAAGGTGGCAAATTCCCAACGTTATCGCCAGTTCATTTTTCTTACTCCACAGAGTATGAGGTATGTCTCCTAAACCCTTTCTTTTTCTGACTAAGTGCATGAAAATTATTTCCTGCTTTCACTTTAAATGCAGTTAAAGCAATGCATATGTTAAACCTAGCCACGGAACCATAGAAATCAACATAATAGGAGGCCATTCAATCATCATTGTTGATGTATCCAGCAAGATGACAGCCTGGCTTGGTTGATTTCACTCTGGTCTCTGAGTCAAATCATTGTGTCAGATCTGAATCAAATCAAATCCCTGACCCCAGCTCGGGTCTGAAATGTTGTACACTGTCCGGCACCTTGGGACGTCCTCCCAACTTGAAAAGAGCTATACAAATGTAATCTTGTTTTTGTTGTGGCTGCAAATACCACAACAGTCAATAGTCAAAGCTGACACTTCAATGCAGCACTAGAGCAGTGCTTTGTGTTAAATCCGTAACCAACATTTTGGATGTAGTTTTAGCAAAGTATGCAGTTGTTCTTGCAAATATCTATCCTTGATCTATGTGTCAATATGTATTGGCACTTTCAGTTTTAAAATCTGATGTACAACAACAACAAGATTTCATTTATAGAGCGCCTTTCATGTCGGGAAGACATCCTAAGGCGCTGGATAGTTGGGTCGGGACCCGAGCAGGGAGGAAATGGTCAGGGTCGGGGGAAGGGAAGGGAGGGAGCGAGGAGGGGGTAGAGAGTCGAGGGGGGAGCTGAAGGCACGGTCAAAAAGAAAGGTCTTGAAGTAGGAAAGGGAGGAGGCGGCGAAGGCACTGGGGGATAGAGTTCTGAATGACCTGCAGCTTGTGGAGGGAGGTGTCGGGAAGGCCGACGAGGAGAGAGTTCCCGTAGTCCAGCCTTGAGGTGATAAAGGCGCGGACCAGTTTCAGCAGCGTGAGGGGTGAGGTAATGCCGCAGTCTGGCGATGTGCCGGATGTACAGTGGCAAGGCCTACTGGTAATGTATATAAGTGCCTGATAGTTATATGCCACTTGCTTTAACTATATCCACTGATGCATACCTTTGCCATATATGTTGTACTGCAGGGATGTGAGTAGTAAGTGATGATTCTGTATTTAATATGTGGAATACTATAATTAACATAAAATACTTGTTTTACAGAAAATAAATGTTTATTTGTTCTTATTTTTGCCGAATGTTATTTTGATCCCTGTATAATTTTAAAATGTTGTATTTCAGCTCTTTGCCTTCAAGTAGCCTCATCAGAATCCTCCGCATGCACGACCCTGAAAGGGGACAAACCACACTGCCCTTCCGTCCGCGAGATCAAGCTGAAGATTCAGATGATTAAACTGCAGTCAGTGCACATGATGTTATGCGTAAAATCAAGAGCCTCCGGGATGCTACCCCACGTGAAGTTGTTGTTCTAAAATATTTCTCTTATATTTGTTAAAATAGTTGTTTTTATATTTCAAGAAATTAACCTTGGATATTCAACACAGGAAAAAATGACGTTACAGCTTTCAGGTTAAAGTATGTCCATGCCACTGTTTATTTGTTTCACATAGTACCACAATTTTGTTAACAGTTCTGGGTTGTTTTTTTCTGCACAATTTCATTGTAGAAGATATTGATGACTTGTCTGATTTATGATATTTGTAAAAGCTGTAACAAACATATGTACTGCACCGAACACTTTTACCAGCATTTTTTTTACATTGCATACAAAAATGGAAAGATCTGGTAAGCTTTATTGTTACCTTTTGTCTGAACAAATAAAGCACTCTCTTGGTGAAGTGGAATCTTTGAAAAGATGTAATTTGTGAGATTAAAATCTTTGATATTAAAAGTTAAGTTATGTTTCAAGTTCTAGTTTTGTGGACTGTTTTTAATATTGTTTTGAATTCAAAGCTCTGGATTACCAATCAAACAATGTATTAACGGGAAGTACATTCTACTGAGTTGTCCCATAGTCCTAAATAAAATAAAAGAATATGCATCCACACTTTTCTCAGTCATCCCTAAATCTTGCTTTGGAGCTACTTGTTATTTAATCCCGGAACACCTGGTGCCACATCAAGCTATATTTGTATAACATTATGAATGGATTGTGGGCATCAAACCATTATTTTAGAGGATTTGCAAAAATATGACTTGCTTCCAGACTACCTCGAACCAGCAGATCTAAAACAGAGTGACAATGGGAGACTGAGACGATACAAAGCTCTGCACACTGTATTTCCCTTGTATAAAATTACAGGACATTCCAGTTGGCTGTCCTATTTAACACAATGGAAAATTAGGAAATAGTAATTTACATGTTGTACTCTGAATATCTATTCTGAAAGAGGAATTGTATACTGCTTTTAACAATTGAGATCACTAATTGATCTGTTTAACATTTTATTGTTAACTTGTAAGTAAAGCAGTGGTACTTTGTTGCTTATTATGTACTATATTTCTTTTCTTGTTTTTATCACATTGTTAAATGATGGTATTTTACTGTGTTAAGACCTGCCAATTGAATTGTACATTTTCCTGTTTGACATAAAATAAAATCGGATTCCCATGAATTATAAACGCTCACTACCATAATGTTTTAATTTGAAAAGCTCTACAAATAGTTTAAAAAGTTACTATCAAATTTCCTTGTAGCTAGTGACAATTTGCAAAATGACTGCTTCAGTTTTTGTAGGAATGATCTAAAATGAGATGCTGGAGGTTCTATATTTCTGGCTATGTGTTTAAAGGTTTGCTGTAAGTAACAGCCCACCTGGTGTGTGCACGTTCTGTTTAGAATTAAAGTGCGAATTTAAAGTAAAACAACGCTGCACTTTTCTGAGGTATTTTTCTCCTACTCTTAAGTTTCTCTCCAACACTTATGATTTTTTTTTATCCCCAGGGTTCAAATAATTGAAGAAATCCCTTGTCACATTTTGTGCAAGTAGATTTGTGTAACCCAGTTTGCTTTCCACTGGAGATTTGATGCTGACTGTTTCAAAATTCCATATCTCAAATCTACCGTGATGTTTAGAGGAAAAAGAAATGGTCTATTATAAACAGTTACATTGACATGGAAATTCAGTTTCATCACCATTATTCAGTAATTGAAACACATTGCAAGCTTCAGTGGAACATGAATAATAATAGCATATTTTAATGCAGCACATTACTGATGCACAGGCCTCTTGAGGAATGAATTTTATATGGTAATGAAATTGCGCACACTTCACTTTTGGCAGTTTTTATATTAATTTAAACTTTTTTTGCATATAACATTCTCATGCACACAAGTGTTTCAAACACAAGAAGCAAGTCCGTTTAAAGGTAGTCCAAGCACTTTTTGTGTGGATGTGTGGATGCAGCTGAAAACCGAATGAAACGTTTTGAATTTTGTGCAGTCCTTGATGCATTACTGACGGCTCATTTCTGAATGTCACATTGCAGGAGTAATACAATGGAAGGATCACTTTTTGCGGCTTCTTTGAATTCATCCAATGTAATCTGGTCATCTTTGTTCTTATCCATCTTACTAAAAATCTTGTCTACTCGTTGCTCTGGCGTCAAACCATCTTCGTTCATTTTCATCATTATGACCGTTCCCACCATTTTATAAATAGCCTTCCAGAAAGAAAGAAGAACATACTGTTTGTGTCTATTAATTCTGTAAAACAAAGTATATTTTCCCTCCTTTAAGTCATTTTCTTGCATTTGGTATACTTCCTTCCACGTCGGGAGGATGTCCCAAGGCGCTTCACAGGATTTGTAGTGAAAGGGGGTGACTATTTGTGGGAAAATGTGGCAGCCAATTTGTGAACAGCAATGTCCCACAATCAGCCATGAAGTGAATGACTAAATTTTATTTACACACAGTGCAGTGGTGGATCACAAGAATGATACCAGACATGAAAGAATATAGGGACGAGAGAAAGCTTGAGACTTGTTGGAGTTGAATAGCTCGAAAGATGATATGGTGACATGGAAAAGGCCTGCTTTTATATTTTTAAGATGCTGGTAAATGTGTTGCTATACATCGTCCAATTTCTACTACAACAACAATGAGGATGCTGTTTTAAAATAATGAGAGGTTTGAAAGGATAAGATGAGGATAATGGTGAAGTGAAATGAAGGAAAGAGGGTGTGAAGGGGCAAGTAGAGGATAAAAATCTTTTGAGGGTTATCAGAATATGGAACAAATTATTAAGGTTGGCTGTTGGATCAGAAGTGTTTAGGCATTTAAAAAGGATTAGATAAACACATGCCGAAGAATGGCATTTGCAGGTACAAGAAAGAGCTTGGAATTAGGATTTTGATAATTGACTTAATTGGAGGAGCAAATCTCAACACTAATACAAATGCGATGAATGTCCACCTTCTGCTATAGACACTTATTACATTTGTGGATTCTGAATTTCCATTCATAAATGTATGCCACGCATCCTGACCTGGCAAGATACTTGTGCCCTAGCAAAAGGCAGGTTGTGTATATATAGAGGAAGATGTATGTGCTGTTGAAACGACTGTTAAAAGTTTTTGTCAGTCAAATGTCTTGACAAGCATAGGTGCCCCTTTACTAGGGTAAAGGATGGAGCCATGTGGGTCGTCAGAAGCTAAAGAACTAATGACCCACCCCAATTACAACTGGAATATAACCAGCTCAGCCTACTATTTACCAGTGGAAAGATGTCAAACGGCCCTGAATGACATCATGTGAGATCATCTTAGGACGCAATCAATTCATCGATTTTGTCTGCTTAACAGTACTGAAGCCACAGTACATTATTGGTCCCTTGTACTCATCATCTAATAGTCTGAAACCTTTTCATGTTTAGGAATTTGTCGATTCCTTTTTATGCCCTTTATCATTCATTGTTCCTGCGCTTGTTTGTTGTAACGCAAACCTGTCTGCATTTTCTATATCTTTAATCAGTCCCTTTTAAAACTATTATCACTTGAATTTTGCACAAGACAAAAACCTATCTGCAATTTTCTATGTCCTTTCTAATTTTAAATACATCATAATTATGAAACATAATTTTATTTGATTGATTTGTTTTTGTTTTTCTATGGTAAATTCATGAAGAATTTGAGATGCAACAATATTTCCAAACAACAAAATAAGTTTAAAACAGTCTTTGGAAAATATATTTAATATGCCAACATTTCTTTTTAAATTCCTCTTAGTATTGTCTTTATTAAAAAAATGAACAACTTAAAAATTTGCACATGGTATGTTTTATGAGTATTTGGCAGCTCATTGCTCTGCGTCAAACCATATTCATTTGTTTTGAAGGAATCTTGGAAAGTTAGATTGGTAGGAAGATGGATAAATAAGCTACTCCAGCCTGCCTGAATCTCATTGTAATTAGTATCACATACTACTATGGAGTCCTGTAGCTCAATGGTTAGAGCACTCGCCTTGCAAGCGAGATACCTGGGTTCAATTCCAGGCAGGGTGAAACCTTGGGCAAGTTTCCTTACTCCACACGCCTAATAATAATCCCTCCAAAACAAAAAACAATAATAAATTGGTCATTTTCAATCCACGACTGTTTGTGGGACACTGTTGTGCGCAATTGGCTGCCGTGTTTCGCCTACAAATATACGGTCAATTCACTTTACAGCGTATTCTGTGAAGCGTTTTGAGACGTCTAGAAAAAGTGAAAAGCGCCATATCAAATGCAAGGATTATTATTAGTATTAGTATGATTGTTTCAACTATTGCATTAAACATTGAACATACTAAATTCAAGGTGTTATTTCTGAACTAAAATATGGGGCTGTACATATTTTGTTTGCAAGTTTGCAATTTGGAGAGTGACTTGATTCAATGTTTTCTTACCTCTATGATCTCCAACATCTCGACTCTTGTGATTTTACCATCACCATCTAAATCGTACATGTTGAAAGCCCAGTTCAGCTTCTGTTCAAAGCTACCTCTTGAAGTAATAGAGAGAGCACAAATAAACTCTCTGAAGTCGATTGTTCCATCGCCATTCTTATCAAAGGTTCTGAAGGCATGTTGAGCAAACTTCGAAGCATCTCCATATGGGAAAAACTGTGAGTTTAAAAAAAAACAATGTTTAAAAACTGCAAAGTTAACACTACATTTCATTTGTTACACAGCACAAATGATGGGAGTAGGACTCCAACCCACTGAAAGAATCAAATGCTTATTTGTCTCCAAGATTTCAGATCATAACCTAATGCTCTGTCTTTAGCACTGCCAACAACAACTTGCACTTAAGTAGCACCCTCCATGCAGGGTAGCGTCTCAGAGCGTCTAACAGCGGCAGGGTCTGACTCCAAGTTGGGGTTGGAGGGAGGTGACCTTAAGCACGGTCGAAAAGGAAGGTTTTCAGGCGGGACTTGAAAAAGGGAAGAGAGGGGGCAAGTGGAGGGATTGAGGGAGAGTGTTCCAGAGTTTCGGGGTATAGTGGTTGAAACTGCGACCTTCAATGGTGGAGCGGAGGGTGCGAGGGACTAGCAGGGGGCCGGAGCCAGTCGAGCGGAGACGCCGGGTGGTGGATTGGGGAGTGAGGAGGTCGGAGAGGTAGGGAGGTGCCAAGGAGTGAAGGGATTTTCCTACAAATTCTGCCACAAATTTTTCATCAATCCCCGGATTAGACAGGCTGTGCCAGAGTTATGCCTTTCATTTCAAATGATTTTTCTCTAACCTCGATTGTGCTTTCAGTTATGTAAAGGGATCGTTCCAGGGAAACATATTAAAATGTAGAAGGGCTTTGTTTTTGTTGATTCCAAACCAAGAGAGTGTTTTTGCTTGCCAGTTGAAGACTGCTCAGGAAGCTACAGGCCTACCATCAACACGAGAAACCTGAAAAAGTTACGTTTTCTCAGTCAATAATTTAATAAAGGCATCCACACAATCCACACAGTCAATGCCCCCCCACCACAAGTGAAATCCTGGATCACCCCTGTATTGGTTCTCCACTTTCATATAATCACCTGCAATAATTTTCTCCATCACTGCCTCTAACTATGTAACTAAACGGCTGGAGAAAAATGCACTGATAAAAAGGGCAGAGCTGCAGGGTTGAATCTGATTCCCAGCGCTGGACATTTTGTCAGATGATCTCTGTGGATATGATTCAACATGGACTCCACACAGATCTGAGCTCCATGACCTTCTAGAATGGGAGCACTATATTCACACTGTCAGTAATTTCTTCCGCCCAACTACTGCTGAGCAGAAACTGCACTTGTGGTGATAAGTGTACTCCAGTTGTATTACCACTATGCTTCATTTCCAATATGGGTTTAACACAGTGGTAAGTGTATACAACTACTGAACTAAAAACACCAATTTAGTTAATTATTAGGGAAGCATCCAATTTACTTTTGTAGTTTGCAATTTTCCAATATTTTAATTTGTTTACATCACCATCATTACAAGTCAAATTCTTATTACCGCCAATAGACTTAAATCAATAAGTTGTTTTTTTTCTTTAATGTACTTTTCCCTACATACAATGTTTCTCCGTAAATACTAGACTTCATTACAAGCCTAACTTTTTATAAGAAACAATTTAATGTGATATAGCGCAGCATCAAATTTATTACAATGCATTATTTAATTTGCAACATTTGAGCCAGGTAGGCCTGCAGCACAAGGAACTGCTGATGACAACCCAGGCATTCTGGCTTATCGGCAGGACTTGGAGGGGTAGGCTAGTCACTGGGGGCAGGGATTCTTCCCACTCAGCTCCTGTTAATCCTGCAAGGCAAAGCCCTAACAAATCGGTGGCCCTATCTGAACAGGCAGTGCATAGGTTGCCAGACAATACTTACAAGCAAATGTGGTTTTAGCTGATTAGACTCCAAAGGCACCTCAGTGCACACTCTGGGGTAAGCCAGCCTTGGCAATGGCAATTTCTGCCTAATATTCTCCAGAATTGGATAAGCATTCCGGACACAGAAATTTCCATGTGTAAATGGCACACACCAAACTGGTTTGGATACTCTTAAGCATGGTGACGGGTTTCCTTATGTGACAAACACTGGGCTGACCAACAAATAATTTGCAACATAAAATGAGTGCTTAACACTCACTGATGTTTTATGATTCATCATGAACCAATCGGAACAATCACAGAACCACACTGCTCTGAAATGGACGCCTGGGAAAAGTTACAATTGCCACACTCATGTGGAGTAAATAATTTATGCGGTGAAAAATATGTCCGTTCGTGATTTAGCGATGTGATAATTATTACCAGTGATATCACATTACAGGATATCACTGCTACTGGAGGTAATGTCCCAATCAATATCAATGTGGGGCAACACCCAAAAGCCAGTCACTGCAGCTATTGAAGTGGCTGGCTGGTGATGGTTCTGAGAAAATCAACTTTAAAATGATTTTTGTAGGAAAAAGTATTTGTGTCATTTGAATATAATTGCCTTTGTCCATAAATGACCTCAATCTTTGAATCAAGGAACACTCCACATGCTTCTCTCCCTCCCTTCATCTCTTGGACTTTAGGTTTACCGATTTCCCAACGTCCTCCCGACGTGAAAGGCTCCATATAAATGTAACTTTGTATTGTATCTCTCTTTGAATGCAGATACATGCAAAGTACTACATATAGGAAGTAAGATGAGGAGGCATTATGCACTACATGAATGGGATTGAACTTGCCACTGTGGAAGCTCAAAAACACCAAGGGCTGTAGTTGACTCATCGCTCACCATGTCAAAACAGTGTGAGGCAGCAACAAATAATGCAAACAGGATGCAGGGATATACTGCCAAATCAGTTTAGTTCCAATCCCCAGGCATCATACTCAAGCTGTACACAGCGATCTGGTCAGGTCGCACCTAGAGTATTGCACGCAATTCTCATCACTGTGACATAAGGGGACAGCTGAGGGCCCAGAGGAGATGACTGACAGTAAAAATAAACCCACAACAATACTTGTGCATGTATCACGACAGAACAAGAGAGCATAGGATTGCAAGGGGCAATTGCACAACAGACACTGGGAAGCATTTGTTTATCCAGAGTATAATTAACATTTACTTGGTAATTTGTTACCTGGAAAAGGTTACCAGGAAGGTTGAAGACTCACTTTAAAAACACAGCGTATGTTGGGATTGGAGAACAATAGAGTTGATCCTCTGGGCTGAAGGGCTTTCTTCATCCATACCTTTCCTTTGATCTTGTGAATTATTTATTTTTAGTTTGAAAATAAACTTGGGTATGTTTTAGTTGACAGGGAGTGAGTAATTGTCACTCTCATTGAAGAACTCAGCACGAGACTTAACCCTACAAAGGCAGTGATTGATTCAAAATAGCAGATACTTTCTGATGATGTTCTCACCAAGGTATCTCTTTTCCCATTATATGTATACATATATCTTCATTCAAAGGAAGATCGCTACATATAAAGTAAATAAGCTAACCTTTATACCATCTATAAAAAACCCTGTTATTACCAAGGCTTTACAATTTAATCAAAGCAAAAAGAAAACATTCTAAAGCTGCATTATGCATACTCAGTGCAACTGACATGTTTTATTCCATGATGAGACTTTTAAACATTTAATTCTATATAATTAAACTAATGTCAAGATACTTAAGAGTTGTGCATTCGTGAATTGTCAAACTGCAGAGAGTGATCATACTGAGAGATGGGGGCGGTGGCGGAATTGTTTTAATTGTGCTCCCACTTGATAGAATTCTTGAATTTACAACCTACACATTTTCTCAGTACTGACACTCACTTTTACACCTCCACAAACTGAATGCACGACACACTCCCACACCGCTTAGACTCAAACTGTTACACAGTGGCAGGATGTGATCTTAACTAACTCTTTACCATCAAATGACTGAATATTTCAGACTGAATAAAAATAGTGATTTTTTCCAACTTTAGCATAATGGACATAATGAACAAGAACCAGCTAACACTAGATAATTAAGCAGTTGGTGAGAAGTAAACCTGGTAAGCATTGGACTTGGACCATTAGAATAATCAGGTGGCTAGCAGTTTGCAAATTGGTGTATTAGGTCTTTCTATTGTGATGAAAGAAAATGTCCGTAGAACAGTTGATGATGAAAGTTGCTGGAAGGCACTACGTGGAGTCCAAGTTTGTGAATGCACATTCAGATATCCGGGGCTTCATGCCTTACTATAAATGGTAGTAGAGGTAAGACCATAAGACGTAGTAGCAGGAGTAGGCCATTCGGCCCCTCGAGCCTGCCTCGCCATTTAATAAGATCATGGCTGATCTTCTAACCTAATTCCATTTACCCGCCCTATCCCCATATCCCTTAATCCCTCTATCCTTTAGAAATCTATCAACCTCAGTCTTGAATATGTAAGTAGCTGTTGCTGAAACTCCACACGAGTGGCGGGTAGGGATGGGTAGGGATAGTCAGAAGCATTGGTGCCAATGCTCTCACACATCGTACACTGAATTGTGCTGTTCACCATGTTGCTAACTGGGAGTTCCTGTTCCTTAATCTTCACCTAACGAGAGTTTGTAAGATGTCCAATGACCAACTAATGACTATGGTTCCTGAGCTAGGCAGATCTGAAGTACACCATAACACTGTTGATGATGGACTGGACAGCCTGGGCTTAGAGGAACAGACTGGGAGCAGGGAATCTACCCACTGGGCTACTATTAACCATGAAACCCAAAGCTCTAATATGTAGAATGGTCATAACAGGACAAGCAGTGGGACTGTGTGGGTAGCAGTTAAACTCCAGCAATATTCCAATGCACTCTGAGGCTCTCCAAAAAAGAAACGATAATTGGAATTATTAAATTCAAGATTTATTCTGCATATTTGCTCAGCAGGCTGGTGATTGGACAACAATATGAGTGTGCTTGGCATGAATTGGCAGCAGAAAAAACTGTCAAGTCATGTATAGTACACATCAGGTTTAATCCAGAATGATACGATTATTTTATGAACTTGTGTCCCGGAGAAATTTGATTAAAACTGATCAAATACATTTGCCTTATTCTTAAAGGGCAATTGGATTGTGATTATAGTTATGGAGGAATTAAAACAGTGCTATATTA